ATCACCTCCTCCTCCTCCGTCACCGAAACTGAACGTGAGTCCACTTTTCAACTCGGTCCACTTAGTTTTAGCCAGACGAGGCCAGAATGACGCAAGTTCTGCTGGTTTTGTTTCTGTTCATCTTTTATCTTTTAACGACGTTAGCCCATAAATCCTGTTTACCTCTGTCTGTTTGTCTCTGTAATAAGTGCTAGCAGCTCTGATCTGCTTCTCTTGATTTTGATCTGATTGAATCCGGGTGGCTGTGTTCGCGTCTGTTGAACTTTTATGCATTTATGTCTCGTTAAAACTGCAAACTGCAGTTTCTTTCATCAAGTTTTGTGTGATAGCGACAATTGAAAATGTGCAAAAGTAAAGTGATCCCGACTGGTGTTATTTAATTTCCCTTTTGGGATTAATGTCGTATTTTTGAATTTTGAAATTGAAATTGTTGGGGTGATGCGGTGGCGCAGGGGCAAAGCACGACCCACGTATTGAGGCCTTTGTCCTTGTGGCAGTAGTCGCAAGTTCGATTCCGAGCATGGCGACATTTCCCGCATTTCTTCCTTCTCACTGATTACCCTGTTTCCTGCTTATCTGCTTTCAAATAAAGGCCTCTAGAGCCAACAAAACCTTTAAAAATTTAAATTGTAAAGCTTGGTTTGCTTCTGTTTCCTTTCAGGTTTCGATGACTTTAACTTGTCGCTGCACTCTGACATGGCCTCTGTCGCCAAGGCCATGGCTTCACCAGAGTCTGGGCTGGAGGTCAGGGATCGCATGTGGCTTAAAATCACCATCCCCAACGCGTTCCTGGGTAAGATGAAAAGAAAAAGAGAAACTACTGCAGGAAAAAACAAAAACTCTTAGCTCTCTATGGCTCTCTGGGTTACAAGGCAGCCATTATATTTCCAGAATTAAAACCGTGTGACCTGTGGGAGGAAGGGAGAAATCCCAATCCTACGAATGGAAATGCTTGTTCTGGCTGGAAACATGTGCCAAATTGGAATCACCTGCAAGCTGACTCACAAGCAGCAATTACAAAATCTACATGACAGCCCAAATTTTGTATTCCGATTGTTTTATCTGATTTGTTTAGATCGTAAACTCCTGCAGCTTAGAGACATTGAAGACAAATTATTATGGAGTCCTTCCACTTTATTTTGGGATTCATTGTGATCAATGAGGTAAATTGATCCCAGAGGTAAATAAAATGTTGGTGTAACTCATATTAAAGAGTTACTGAAAGTAGTGGTGGCTGTTGGCATGGAAAGTCACTTGTAGCAGTCTCTGACTGAAGAGGCTCTGTTTTTCCAAGATTTTGGATCAGATGAAATAGGCTGACAACAACCTGCAATCTGTTATCGTCTGACTGGAGATAAATGTTTTGTTTATTTCTTTGTGTCACTGAGAATCTCTCTCTCTCTATGTCTCTCTCTGTTTCTCTCTCTTGGTCTCCGTCTCGCCTTCAGGCTCTGACGTAGTGGAGTGGCTCTTCCACCACATCGAGGGATTCCAGGACCGCCGGGAAGCCAGGAAGTATGCCAGCAACCTTCTGAAGGCCGGCTTCATTCGACACACCGTCAACAAGATCACTTTCTCCGAGCAGTGCTACTACGTATTCGGAGATCTGAGTGACTGTGAGAACTGTGAGTCGCTGATATGTTAATCTCAGTCCAAACGAAATTGGAGACAATATATTCTGATAAGCAGAAGTTTCATTCAGAAGAATAAAACTCTTCTTGGTTAATTTGTTTGTTGAAATCTATTCTGTCCTTTTACCCAGACATGGCCAACCTGTCGCTGAACGACAACGACGGCTCCAGCGGCGCCTCGGATCAGGACACCCTGGCCCCCCTGCCGCTCCCCGGCGCCTCCCCGTGGCCCATGATGCACACCTTCCCCTACCAGCCCTACGCAGCGCATCCCTACTCCAGCCAGCCGCCTCCGTACCATGAACTCAGCAGCTACAGCTTCGCTCCAGGCAGCACGGGCAGCCAGCACAGCGAAGGTGACAAAACATAGATTATAATCATTTAAAGAAAAAAAGATGTTTTAGGGATTCTTCGACTTCAGCTATCATGGACTCAGTTTTGAACATTTGACTCCCCATGTCCTTCAAATTAAACAGAATTTATATCAAATGTTTGTGCTGGTTTGTGCCGCAATCATTTTAATGAAATTAATAAATGTTTCCAGAGGTCATCAAAGATCAACCCGAACCTCCATGTTTACAAAATCAAGCAAATTTTGTGTCAATCAACTGTACTGCATGGTTAAAAATGTACAAAAACTCATGCTTTCAACATAGGATGAAATGTTAAAGTTTAATTTCAGTACATTTGTCCAGTGCAAAAAAAAAAAAAAAGTCCCACGTTGAGAAATAATCATCTAAACTAAACAACCATTTACTCAAAATCCCAGTTGGCTTGATTATTGGCACCTCCAAGACATTTTAAGTAAGAAATTTTACTTGCATTTTTTTTAGTTAATTTGATTTTTAGATTAGGAATGCACGGCTTCCTGTTATTTTGACTAGTTTTGAGTAGTTCAGAAAATTTTCCTGCTTTTGACCCAAACTGACTGACATGAGAACATTTAGATCTGGAAAAAGCAACATTACGAACCAGTAAAGTAAGATGCTTTTGTCTTCTGTTCCTCCTCTTCCCAGGGAGCCGAAGCAGCGGCTCAACGAGGAGCGAGGGCGAGCGGCGGCGCAGCAGCAAGGGCCCCGGCAGCACCGTGGGCGGGGGGGAGAAATCCCCATCTGGAGACGGCGGTGGCGCCGAGTCGCGCTCCGGCAGCGGCAGCGAATCGGAGTACTCCACCCGCGGCAGCCTGAGGCGTGGCCACGGCTCGTCGGCTCCCAGTGAGCACAGCCACGCCTCGTCGCAGCGCTCCCACCACCACCGGATGCCGCAGCCCCCCCATATGTCCCCGTACCCGCCAGGCATCCTGCCCTACAATCCCATGATGCTGATGATGGTGCCCCAGCACCCTCATGCGGCCATGGCCGCCCACGCTCTCCAGCACCCGCAGCAGCTGTCGGCGGCCCCCATGCACCAGGCGCTGCCCCCTCCTCCCTCCTCTACTCCAGGGGGCCCTCCAGGGGCCCCTCCCACCCGTGACCTGGGCTCTGTGCCTCCAGAGCTGACCGCGTCCCGTCAGTCGTTCCACCTGGCCATGGGCAACCCTAGCGAGTTCTTTGTGGACGTCATGTAGATTGCTTTTTGTTTTGTTTTTCTTTGTGTCGATTGCTTATTCATGTGAAGTCAGTGTACGGTTCTGCTCAGTGAGCTCACGCCGCTCATCGGAGTAAGGGTTTTGGTTATAAATTAGGGAAAACAGGGTTTAAAATAACAAAGAAATTAATGAAAAGCAAGCTGATATGGAATTTGGTTTGATTCAATGTGCCAATGAGTTTAGTTTCTGCTTCAACGAAAAACAAAAAGTACAGCTTTAACAGTTCAGAAAGACTCGTCTGTTCAGGTTCTTCTGTGTTTGAAGCTAAGTTTCAGCACAGCGTTCGGAGCCCGGCGGAGCTGCTCTGTAGTTTGAGCCGCTGATCTCAGATCTGCCCTCTCTGGAGCCACACAGAACAGAGTTTAACACTAGAGGGCGCTAGGTACACCATGTACTGGAAGAAGGATCTGGTCCTGAATGCCTGTTTTGTTTCTTTTTTGTTTGTTTGTTTTTTTGATGAGTGCCTTACTTTTTTGAGACGTGAAACACTCCAGGTACATAAGATGTTGTTCCACATTGTTTGACAATGAACTTCTCTGTACATAAATATCTGCAGCTCCTATGTAAAGCGTTCGCTCCAATGTGAAAGGAAAAGGTCCAAACACGTCAGCGGGAATCAAATGATCAGATCACTCCTGACCTGAAAGGTACCACGATGTTCTGAATGTGACACCATGTGCTTATGGCGGTACCTTTTCATGACATTCAGTGTATTTCTTTAATGTGATACAGCTCCTCATCCTTATTTTTATGTTATTGACTCACATTATTCACCATTTTTTTTGTTTTTGTTTTGTATGCGTGACTTTATAAATAATGTGTAATCCAGATATTAAGGTGCTAAATGAAGAGTCAACGTTACAGAGAGAGTGACATGGACAGTGTGGCGCTGTTTCAACTCATAATACCATCTTTGTTTGTGCCTTTCGGAATAAATTTGATACTAGCTCACCGTGTTGTGTTTTTAGATTTATTCGTATGGCATTTACATAAACTGATATTAAATCACACCAAGGTTTTAATGGTTTAGGTCAGTAAATGTTACCTAAATTATTTCTATTTGCTAAATATCTGAATAGCAAGAGAGTCATTTAATTCTTAAAATTCAGAAGCTTATACATATGATGCTTGTTAATTTATTCATTTCTGGAAATTTTCACCATTTGGAAAAACCCAGATAATGTTACAACTGTTGAACCTATAATTAATAAAAACAGAAAAATATCTAAGTGGGGTTTTTAGGATTTACACAAGAGTTTAATTATCAAAATACATTCTGGCTCCATAGAAGCGAGACAACACAGCTAGGTAAATTAAAACTTTCATGTGTGTAAATTTTATATTTATACACAATATTTGTTTACTTTGGTCAAAGAAATCACTCCCAACAGGGACAATTTGGGGCAAGAAAAAAAAGCACTTAAAAAAAGTGACTCACATCAGCAGATTTATGGAATTGCATTCACTGTCTATAGAGAATAGAAAGATCAGAGGGCAAATGTTAATATAGGAGAGTGATTTAGTAATGCCTGTAATTTACTAAACCAATAGGAGCTAAACTTTAAATACAATATTTTTTTGTTGAGTGACTCAAATAATGCAACTTGCTTGCTTAAGAATATGAATAGGGGTAACTGTTGTTTAGTATTTGTGACAGACTGAATTGAAGTTCACCATCACAATGAACAAATTGTTTTGCAATAGAAATGCCTACCGTACATAAACTACCTTAATACGACTGCCCAGAAGGGGGCGCTACCGCCGTCTGACAGAGATGGACAGTCGGCGCATCAAGCCTTAGAAGAAGACAATAACCGCAGCTGTAGAAACGGAAGAAAATCTGGTTCGGTGGCTATTCGGCTCTTTTTTTCGGTGAGAGGAGAAAGTTTCACCGTTCATCAACTCAGGTCTGGCATTTTAAGGTGTTTCTGGCATGGTTCACAGAGAAAACTAGACGGTTTACGTGCATTTATCGGCTGTTGAGCGAAGGCGAAGTTGAAACTGTAATAGTTACAAAACACTTGCCGTTAGCAGGGTAGGGGTCGGCACCTTGTTTACGCCTTTCCCCAAGCTTAAACCTCACTGTCTTTGTGATGACAGTGAGGGTAAATGCTGTTGTTTATTTCAGAACAAAAATAAATCATGCTGCTTCGTAAGGTGAGCCAGACTTCCGCGGTGTGCGGATCCCTCCTCAGGAATCCTGCCGTGCTGTCGGGGTGAGGAAAAGCCGCAGACCTTTGGGAAGCAAACCTCCTGATCTCTTTCTGAAATGACCACTAAGTCTAAAACATGGGTCTGTCTTTGCTCCCTTCATTCAGAGGTCAGCGCCAAGCTGCGATAGTACTCGCTGTACCAAACGGTCGGCTCTACGCCAGTCAAGCTGCTCAGGTATGTTTAATATTACATATTGCGTTTGCAAATCAATTTAATCGGATGCGATTACTTCATAAAGTCTGCTTGTTTTGTGGATACTGGATGAGCTATAAAGTATGCATGATATAACGCCCTCTATGTGGAAGTGGGGGAAAGTTCACTGGTCACGTGACTGAGTTATTAAAGGTGACACACCGCAGTTGTGTAGGCAAAAGTTCACAACATTAACTCTTATGTAACATGATGCCACCTAGACCTCTGCTCATCTGTCCTGGCCTTATATTCTCCATCTGCACATTCATTTTGGTGGACTTGATCCGTTCACTGGCATTGTCTCACACCTTTATGCATTTCAATATGCATATTTGTCATGTTTTTAATCAGAGTTCCTGGGCCTTAATGTTCGTTTTGTTACTTTCAATTAATTTAACCCACATTTTAGGGCTGGGAACTGAGGAAACGGTTATAAGAATAAGTATTCATATTGTGGTGATGACGGTAAATTAGTTGAAGGTCTAAACTGGTAATAGTTTGGATCTTTGCCATTTGGCTTTGGCATTTGTCAGAAATGTTCACTCACCCCTCCAAATCATTCTGTTAAGTTGTTCCAAAAATGCCTGCGTTTAAATCCAAGCAGAGGTGAGTCGTTTTTACTTGTATTATAAGAAATAATACAAGTACAAACTACTCTGTACTTCTTGAGTAACTGATCCTAACATCTGATTTAATATTTTAAAATGTTAACAAAGATAATACAAAGTTATGTGCAAATTTAGATATTTTAAAGGTCTAATGAGGAAAAAGTACAAATGACCTACTTGCAAAATATCAAATTGAGACAGAAGAAACAGTTTTAAAAATCTTTTTTTTTTTCCAACATAAAAGTTTTCAAGGTAAAGTTGAACAGTGTTATAATCTTCAACCTGTTACAACAGAGTGAAGTATTTCCAGTGACGATAACTATTTAATTTTATCGGTTGATATCTAAAGCGATGCATCCCAAAGATCACTACATTGAGCATCTTTCTGGACTTGAGTCCAAACCTGTGGCCTTTAAATACTTTCAGTGTTACACCTCTCCTCCTCCTGACCTGTGTGTCCAGTTGGCTGCTTGAGGACATGTCAGACATTTTCTAAATATATTGTCACTGACTTTTAAGGCTTTTTTTGTTTGTTGATGAAGCTGAAAATTCTGTGCCGCTTTTCTCCAGGCCGTGTTGGAGAAACCTGCTGCGGTCAGCAGCGATGCTGCTCCTAAAGTGGAGAAGGCCGTCGCTGCTGTAGGCTTCCTTTTCCTCTGCTTTTTATCACCACAGTAAGAAACAGAAAACAGAATTTAAGTAAAATTGATTTTTGTTTTCTTTGGTCTCGTGTAATTGTTTCCTCAGGAATCCAAATCATTTGCCGTCAACATGTTCAAAGGACAAATTGCAACAGTTCAAGTATTCCCCTTCCCCAAAGGTAAGCTCCAAACACTCCTCATATTTGATGAGATTTGTTGGTTTTTAATTTGGAAAACAATTAGGTGAAGCTATGTTTGTGGGTTAGCTCTGAACCAGGAGCAAGAGCAGTTCCTCCAGGAGCTCGTTGGCCCAGTCAGCAAGTTTTTTGAGGTAATTTAAAACCTCTAAGAATCTATTCTTTTTCCTTCAGCCTCTCAATCTGTTTAATACTCATCAGGCTCATTCATGCTTCCTGTCTTCCAGGAGGTGAACGATGCTGCCAAGAACGACGCTCTGGAAAAGGTGGAGGATCACACCATGGAGGGCCTGAAGGAGATGGGGGCCTTCGGCCTGCAGGTTCCGGCTGACCTGGGGGGCCTCGGCCTCTCAAACACCCAGGTACAGCCGCTTGATTCGATTCACTTTTATATCTGTTAAGTGTCTTTGCTCAGACACTTTACAGTGTCTGAGCAAAGAGACAAAGTCTCACTTCAAAACATAAAACTTTCCAGTTTTTCATGTTTAGTAAGAAATGTCAGTGTGCAATTAAATAATACAACAATATTTGTTGCTCAGTGGGTGTCGTTTTACTGTTGGGATTGTGTGCAAATATTGCATGAAAACCTAAAGATACTACTGGAACTCTTATTTTACCAGCTTTATATTTTAAAACAATGATCATTTCACGTCAAGAGCCAATATGGAGGGTCTTAAAAGCCACAGGTTTCCAGACACTTGGGCTGTGATAATCTTTATTAATTAACATACATAATCATGTTAATTCAGCCTTCATTCAGCCTATTATCGATTCAGTAATAAATGTAAAATTGATTGGCAATAATTGATTTAAATTGATTATTGCCAATCGATTTATTAGGAGCAAAACTCTGCTAAGATGAAGATAATAGAGGGAACTTGGTGGTTTAAAACATTTGCACCATTCCATGTAGGCTGCAAGTCTTACATGATGGTTGCGTTTCCTTCCAGTACGCTCGCCTGGTTGAGATCGTCGGCAGTCACGATCTGGGAGTCGGCATCACACTGGGAGCTCACCAGTCAATCGGCTTTAAGGGAATTCTGCTGTTTGGAAACAAAGCCCAGAAGGAGAAGTACCTTCCCAAACTTGCCACAGGTGATCAGAATCTGGACAGACTTCTGGATCAAAACCAGAGCCAAAAATACAGCAGCTCTGCAGACAACAAATATCTTGAAAAGACGACCTACGTCTTCTCTTTATTTTAGTTAATTTTTTTTCTGACCATGCAGGTGAGCACATTGCCGCGTTCTGCCTGACTGAACCCGCCAGCGGCTCCGACGCCGCCTCCATCAAGACCACAGCTGTCGTCTCCCCTTGCGGAAAGTTCTACACTCTGAATGGCAGCAAGATCTGGATCAGGTGCGGACTCATCATAGGACAGGGTGCCAACCACAAGAGGGCAGCACCACATTAGACACAGGAAGGGCTTTAAGCGCTGCTGTCTTCATATAAGTTTTATATTTTCTGTTCAGCAATGGAGGTTTGGCTGAGATCTTCACCGTTTTTGCCAAGACTCCCATGAAAGATCCTAAAACCGGAGAGATGAAGGACAAGATCACAGCTTTCATTGTGGAGAGAAGCTTTGGAGGAGTCACGCAGTGAGCACTAATCTTTTCCCCCTTAACTTCACGAACAGGATTTAATCTTGAATAGTCTAAAGTTTAATGCTATCATTTTCAAAATCTGGAGAAGTGTTGAAGTATTTCACTTTGAGAAATAATCACAAAGTCATCAGTACCAACAGATGGTGGAGGATCATTCATTTCTGCTGTTGTTCTAACATCAAGAGGGATGTTGGCAAAGTCATCAACGTGATGCAATGATGTGGCTTTGAAATGACAATTGCTGTGAATTGACACAGCAATTCACAGCAAGTGGCCATAAATAAACTGAACTGTTTTTAATCCAAGATAATTGAGACCAGGCTTTCATAAATAATGTAGATAGTAATGGATAAAAGTTTGTTCAGATGCCAATAAAATGGTGAAACAATCTTTTACCTCAATGCTGAGCAAGAACACAGCTGGTGTTCTGTTTTAGGATTTATAGAGTTAAACAAAAAAGGAAAATACTCAAACTGGGTACGGTAAATGTTTTGTACTTCTATAAAAGTCGCACAAAATCTGGCTAATTAGTAGGAAGTCTGTCTAAAGCTGCTCCTGTCTTTATTCCTCCACCCGCAGCGGCCCCCCAGAGAAGAAAATGGGCATCAAGGCGTCCAACACGGCCGAGGTTTACTTCGAGGACGTTCGCGTGCCGGCCGACTGCGTTCTGGGCGAAGTGGGCGGCGGCTTCAAAGTGGCCATGAATATCTTGAACAACGGTCGCTTCGGGATGGCGGCCGCCCTCTCGGGCACCATGAAAGGCGTCATGGCCAAAGCTGTGAGTCTTGCCGGCGTCCCCTTTGAACATACTGTGGACAGGAAGGGGTGTGCAGCAGCAGAGCGCTACAGCTTTCACACATATCTCACTTCTCATACAGGCTGTCAGGTTTCCCATCCTTTGCTGTGAGTCGCGTCCGTATTGTCTCTTTACACCCCTCGTTTGTTTCAGTCTTGCTTTTCTTTCTTTGTGGGTGGCTGGGAAATTCCCTAGCTCGTGCTTCACCACAGCCTGCTTTCTGCTGAAGTGGAAGTCAGGCGCTGGAGATTCAAATTGGCTGGCGGCGTGAGAGCATGTTTCCTTTGAACACTTGGAGCCTCTGCGCTTTAGTCAGATTTGCTTTGCATTTAGGGAAACATTTATTGTTAATATATAGAAAATCTTTAGCATCAAGCAATCGTGTTACAGTATTGCATGAGTCAATAGCGATAGTTGTTCTGAAGGCACCTGAGTCAATCCACAACAGATTTGCATAATCAAGAGAAAATCTCAACCGACTGCTCTCTCATGTAAAGTTACTCATTCGATATTAGGAAACGGACCGGACTGCACTGTGATGGGTCATTTTGTTCATTGTGTAAAACACAAAACGTGCAGAAGAAGCAAAGCATTAATGTCAGCTATAGGTAAAGTTTTTATGTTGAATTAGCTTTTCTGAACCTATAGTTTGTTATAATATTAATAGAGATAATCCAATAATTGGTAAAGAAAAAAGCGGCATTTTTTCCTCTACAGGTGTAACAAGACTATATGTGAGCACTGCAAGTTGTTCAGACGCTTGAAGGAGGCAAAAGGTGTTGCTATAACGACCACTGTCTGAAAGTCTGGCAGCATATTAAGCTACATCACAATCACAATGCAGGCTGTTGAATTTGTCTTGAGAAATATTAAATTATTGCCACGTCTTGTTTCCTTGAACCCAATATCACGTCTCGTCTTGTGAGTTTCAGGCGTCATCATGTTGAATATTCATGTGTTCGTTGGTTTATGAGCCCTGAAGAAGGAGCAACATTGAAAACATTTTTTAACCAAATTACAAATGTAGGTTTTCAGTGATATTCCGTAGCGCTGCGGTCACTGTGGCAGAAAACACTCCCACTGGTTTCATTGGGTTTTTGTGGAAAACGTATATCAGGGTGGCTGTGAGGCCTGGAGGAGTTCGGAAAAGAGGATGTGGATGGATAATCTGTTGTATCATCCATCCACGCACATCTGTTCCATCTGTCCGTCCGTTCATTCATCGTCTACACAGCATTAGCTAGCTAACCTGTAGCTGGGCTCCAAACGAACTCACAAGATCTGTAGATGTGTCGGATTTTTTTTCATTTCTTGTTCAAATCGACAGTATTGTGAACGTTTTATAAATCTGTCATTTGTTGAGAATAGACAGAAAGTCTAATCCAATTAGACAAGAATATCTTCTGCTTTACATTCTATTAGCTTTATGTCTGGGATGTGTGTATCAGTAAGACGATGTGTATTGAAATGGATAAATAAACAGAGTGATTCCTTCTCGTTAGGTAAACACCCTACAACTGTTAGTCCAGTTGCTGCTGCTGGAAATGAATTATAGCTTTGTGTTCTTCCTGCAGTATCGCTGATGATGCTCTCAACATGTGTTCTTTTCTTTGTTTTATTCACAACTCACAACGTTCCTGATGTTTTTTTGTTTTAACAAGCAGAACCTTCTGTAAGCTCTTTTAATTTACCTTAAAATGTATTTAAAGCTCTGAGTACCGTTTAACGTTCCTATTGACAAGGCTTGAAGGAAGTCGTGCCCCATGTAACTTCGAGGGCTTTGGTGGTTTTTGCCACTCTGAACAGAAGTGTTCAAACTTCCTCTTTTTTGCAGCAAAAAGTAGAAGAAGAAAACCACCGGTTTAAGATGCTACAGCGTCTTAAACTTTGCACGCCTTATTTGGGAGGTGTGTAGCCATGAATCGCGCTTCACGTTTTTCCTCCTCGTCTTTCTCTTCATCAGATCGATCATGCAGCCAACAGAACCCAGTTTGGGAACAAGATTCACACCTACGGAGCCATCCAGGAAAAGGTGGCCCACATGACAATGCTGCAGTACGTGACAGAGGTCAGACCATCCGAGAACGAATGTTTACCGCAGCTGAGTCACTTCTACTTTGATACACTGAGCCATCTCAGTAAAAAGCTGTCCTAAATAGTGATTCCTCATTGAAGCTTCATAATTTCTTCTATTTAAACTCAATTTTCTTGCAAGTTGTAAAGCAATCTGATGCCCTGTTGGTTGGTTCTGCATTTGAACCAAGCAGTTCTTATTTTTTTTTTCGGTTTTGTTTTTATCTGCTTGCAGTCAATGGCCTACATGATCAGCGGGAACATGGACAGCGGCGCCACAGACTTCCAGATAGAAGCTGCCATCAGCAAGATCTTTGCCTCTGTAAGAACTGAAATCAGTCTAATAATCAATCAATAATCAGTCAGGCAGATTATTGTTGTAGTTAATACTATTTTTATCGACTTTTTCTCAGGAAGGCTCATGCAAACCTTATTTAAGGACTTGAGTGTCAATGCAAACACTCAAGAATTTATATTACTTCTTGCACAATATTCATGTTCCTCATTTTGCTGAAGATTGGACTGGAAGTGAGATTCTTGAGGGTTGTTGATTCAATTGTGGAATTGAAGTTTGTTCTGTGGCTGATTTGTGTGTGTGTTTTTTTTGTTTTGTTTGTTTGTTTTCACTTTAACAGGAAGCTGCTTGGACTGTGACAGACGAGAGTATTCAGGTCATGGGAGGAATGGGTTTTATGAAGGTGAGTGTGCGGTCCACATCCTGTCACGTTCAACCCGAAGTTGCAAGTAAAAGCTTGCTTCTGTTTATTCAGCATGCAGTTATAATGGGTTCCTCATCTGAATCAACAAGTACCCCCCCCCCTTTCATCACACTCTTGCAAGACCTCTAAAACCTGTGGGCTCTTCCTATCCGTTTTTTTTTTTTTTTGTGCTTTTTTTGTTTCTTCCTTTGCGTATATTGTGCCAAGTTTTATTTGGCTCAGAAGTGGCGAGATTCAAATATAAGTGTCATGGGTGGAGTCAAATAAAAACGTCGTTTTGGGTATTGCAGCTTTCATGGCGCTCTGGTGAAAAATATTCCAGACCAATCTTTTGAAGAAACTTTGCTCACATCTATGTTGTTAACGTGACTTTTAGCTTTGGAGTAATAAGCGATCATGCATATTTTCTACTGTAGCACCACCTACAGGTGAATGTAGATTAATGTATTTGTATCCGAGTCCTGAACTCGGGTAACAAATAAAAGTTGGAAACTGAATTTCCAAGCGGAACCTTCCTGAAGGATTAATAGAGATCAACATGCGTAACATTTTCATTTAAAAAAAAACATGACACAAATACAGCAGGGAATATTCTTTTATTTATAAAATTGACTTTGTCAGGTTTAGAGTCACTGACTGTTTTGTTTTTTTCCCATTTCTGTAAATATCGATTGGCCCATTGAAGGAAATATATTAAAACTATAAACAAATAAAATGATTTAATTCAAAACTGTAAGCTAATTTCACACAGTAACTACTAAAAAAAGGCTATTTTATTTCACTTATATTACTTTTGTTCCTCCGGACTCGTTTTGTTCGGCTGGTGAAGGCTGCTGACCCTTGACCCAGATGCTGAGAGTCCCTGAAATGCCTTGTGAGCTCATTACAATACCGATGGCACGCCATGCTGTCACTTTCAAACTAGTTACAGCAGAGTCATTATTCTGTTCTGTGGTCCGATAGGGGTATCCCCAGGGCCAGTAAATACGATCTGAGTCAATATTAGCAAGATGGGTGGATCAGTTAAATGGCACCTAACTTCCCTGGGTGACAATAACAAGCTTGTAAAAAAGAGCGGGAATTAATGGCCATAAGTTAGCCAACAAATACTGGACGGTTTCCCGTCAGACACACTGGTGTTTTCACTTCCACTTCTTCTAAATGTTGGGATTCTATAAACTGTGCTGCTGTGTGTAAATAGGGGGAAGGAAGTCAAACCAGGCAGCGCCACTGTGTTCACATAATCTTCTGTCAGCTTTCTTAGTTAAAAGTTACCCTCAAAAGAAGCTCAGGTGTATTTAATTAGCATCTTATTTATATTTCAGCCACGTTTATTCTAGCAGCTGAAGTTGCTGCTGCAGTGCTGCGTTGCAAAATGATTTTTTTTTTCCTTTGTATATTACAAAACCTTTTCAAAAGTGACAGCCGCTTGCTAGCTGAAGATCTGTGGGCGAAGTGAAACGCTGTAAACATTTATGTTGCGGTGCTTAAAAATAAACCCGACTATGCAGGAGGGGGAGGTTGGCTGAAGCAGATTCTGAAACCGTGGAAGGTTAGCCTCGAGATGGAACAACACCCACAGCTGTGCACTGACTGCAGGGGCGGACCGCGTTACTCTTCTGCAGGTTTCCACATTAATTAGAGCAAAGGAACCAGCTCAAGTTAAGTCCATTTTGCTGAAATCTGGTGGGAATTGAGCAAAATTTAATCTGAAATCTCAAAGGTGAAGCTCAGTAAAGTCGAATGTGATAAAAAGTTTTTCAATTCAACTTTTCTATATATTGTAGATTTGTCTTTCCTAATTGACACCCACATTTCAGCTTTTCAGAATATTAGAGCATTACATCAGAGAGCGGATATCAAATATGATACAGAGAATCATGGAAGACAAAACGAGAGGAAATTGAGTGGAAGGAAAACGTGTAGTAGGGAAGGATTCCCAAAACACTGAGCTTGATTTGAATCAGAAACGTATTGTGGACGTATAATCTGTCCTAATCCAGAGATGCGTCTCTGAGACTTAGGAGGAACCAGACGGGACTGTTGCTAAGTCCTCTTGTCAAAAAAAAGAAGCTATTTTTGCATTTCATTTTGAACGCAACATCCCAGAACCTTTTTAAAATCCTAATGCAATGTTTTCATGTTCAGAGAAACTGATTAAATGAGACAAATCAAGAGTTATAAATTCTTAAAATATATAATTCCCTTTAATAGTTTGAACACTGATTTTGGTGAGATTCTAATGTCTAAGCGGTTTTAATACAAGTCATCTTTGATTGCCAACGTATAAATAAGTAAAACCAGATGCTGTCTTACAGAAGTTTACTTTTTATTTTTTTGTACATATTTTTGCACGTGTTGTGCACTTTGACTCAGGGTTTCACTTCAGCAAAGTGAGACAAACTTCTCACTTTGTCTCCGTTTAGTTTCTCTCCAGCTTAAAACTCCAGAAGCCTTGAAAGGAACAGACTCTGTTCCTGTTCGCCGCTGCTGTTTTTCAATTCACTGTTTTCGGTCGTTACGACTTGCCCCTCTCCCATACATCACATATTATCAGGATGTGCTGAAAACACAAAGCTTTGAACGAATATTAAATTTGAGAACGTTGCAATAAGTTCAGAAAAGCCCACTCTGTGCATTGCTGATGCAGATCTAGCTGATATTGTTTCTCTAAAAGCTTCTACAAGGGTTATAATTAACCTTATTGTTTTTGCTTATCAATATTGACTGAACTGAATTGACCTGGAGCAAATTGAAGGCACTGATGTGTTCACATGTTCCTGCAGGACTCCGGAGTGGAGCGGGTGATGAGGGATCTGAGGATTTTCCGAATCTTTGAGGGAACCAACGACATCCTGAGGCTCTTCGTGGCGCTCAATGGCTTCCAGGTATCGTGAGAACTCTCACAGAATGAATTCAGTAGCTTTTATTGTGGTTTTTGAGTTATCTCAGAGGAAGGCTTAGAAACATACAACAGAGGAAGTCTGATATTTTTTTTTTCCCCCTCTCTAATTTTTGTTTTTTTCTGCTTACTCTTTGGAAACCGTTCTTCCTCAATGCTTTTCTGAGCGCTGCAGCTTCTGGTTGTTTTGAAATGTTAAGCAACTTCCCCCCCCTGACCCACATATGTTTTTCTGTGTGCCGGCAGCAGATGCGCTCTCTGTTTGAACTGCTACAGATCCTTACGGGTGGAAGGACAGTTATTCCTGGTTTATTTACAAATACAAATCTGAAAAAAAAAAAAAAAATCAACTAAATCTGGTAGTGCAGCGTTGAAAGTTCCCGGAAACACTCTGACCTGTGTATATGCCGTTTGTGTTTGCGGCCCTGCAGAATGCCGGGAACCAGCTGAAGAGCATACAGAAGGCCCTGAAGAACCCCTTAGGCAACGCCGGGCTGCTAGCAGGAGAAATCACAAAGAGAGCCAAAAGGTTGCAGCACGGTTTGCACCACATGTCTCTGTTTCTGCTTCTGGAGCTTCAAAAGCTGCTGCTGTTGATGCTGTGTGATAAGGATGCCTTTAACTCAGCACAAAGCGCTTTCTATGCTCTTATTTTCCCCGCTCGTGACAAGTATTACTGAGAGCGCAGTCAGTTTTATCTAGAAATGATCTAAAACACACAGCCGATTTATTTAAGAACCACTCCCTTACTAAGAAAACCAACAGGCTGAAGATTTTCTCATTTCTTTTCTATGTATGACGAACAGAAAACTTGCATCCTGATTTGAAAGTTATGTTTTGTTCAACATAACTTTCTGTTTCAGCTATATCTGAAATGACAAATCAGCTCTTTCACACATTTAATTGCACTTAAATGTGCAATTCTGTCTGTCCACAATCACTTTGGGGCATCTGTACCAGAAGAGTTGTTGTCATGTTTTTTTTGTTTTATTTCTATTTGTAGAAAGGCAGGTCTGAGCACAGGTCTGACTCTGAAGGGAAGCATCCACCCTGACCTGGCACAGAGTGGAGACCTGGTAAGTGTAACGGGTTGTTGTATTGTTTATTTGTTTTCTGTGGATGTTTTTGATCATTATTCAGCCATATCCTGTTTTCAGTTTTCTAATCGTGGATACTAGATTCTTACTGACGATTTGTGGCTGTTTCCAAAAGCCGAGGTGGTTCTAGAGACGGGACAGAAAATCAGAGGCCTTATTAAACGCTCGATTCCTGATCTTGTTCATAATTTTTGTACCACCACAGCCAACCCGTCACGTCGTCCTCTGAGTGTGTGTTTCTGTCCGCCCTCTGAACAGACAGTGAAAGCCATCGAGGAGTTCGGCGCCGTCATCGAGGAGCTGTTGGTCAAACACGGCAAGAAGATCATCGGTGAGTGAGACAGTCGGTCGTAGACATGAACGTTTACCTAGCAGCTGGTTTAAATTAACTTCAGAATTATTTCCATGTTATTACAGGATAGAAACATTCATAGAAGTGAGTTGAAGCCTTTTATTTGTTTTTGATATTAAAATTAGAGGTTTTTTCTTTTTGTTTTCTTTCAGACGAGCAGTTTGTTTTGAAGAGAGTTGCCGACTGCGCCATCGACCTCTACGCCATGGTGGTCGTCCTGTCCAGGTCTGCAGACGTCTTCTCTTTGTCTTTTGTCTTCGGTTGTCCCCGCTGCCTATTTGAGCGACTCTCATCTCCGCCTACTCGACATAGAAACTCCCACGCAGCCTGAATGCAGATGTTTCGTTTGTCCCGCTCTCTGCAGGGCTTCCCGTTCTCTGAGTCAGAGCCAACCTTCAGCTCAGCATGAGAAGATGCTGTGTGACACCTGGTGTATGGAGGTAAGGTCATCGGCACGTAGACACAAAATGGATATGGATCCGATTTGAATTTAAAAAAAGCTGAAATGGAGGAAACCCTGAATCAACCAATAGCGGGGTCTTATAACCTCTGGTTCTCTAAATTTACATGGTTCTAATAAGTTCCTATTGGCTTTTTATTATTATTATTTTGATTAATTTTACTTCGTTTCGATTTTTAAAATTTTTCCTCAAATTCCTATTTTATGATTTAGTCAAACTTGAGAAAAATTGGATGAGGGGAAAAAAAGGAATAAAATGGGTTCTAATTGTTTGTGTATAAATGATGCAACTAAACAAAAAATATCCCATGATCCTCTGTGCCAGTAACCAACATTGATAGTTTGCTTGGTGGTGAAAGTCTCATTTCATCTCACTTCCTGCTGCTGCGGCTTAATTTGCCCTGATTCAGTCAAACTCAGATGTTTGATTTAACTTGAAAGAAACCAGGCATTAGACTTTGATTAAGCCATCTAAAAACAAACCGTAATAAGAGTAACTTAAAAAAAAAACACAGCTTTAACTGATTTTGGTTCCATTTGCTCATTTTAAATACGCTTTTTATTTCTTATTACTAACCTTGACATGAGGGAATTTCCATATCTGCTGAGCAGTCTAAGCTGTTTGTATAAGATTAAAGATTAAGTTGATTAAATATTACTAGAACAGTAATTCGGCGTGTCATGCAGAATCCAACCCAAGTGGCTTTTCTATGAGCTTCAATTACAAGGCTACATTGTGTAGTTAACTTTAGTCCTTTTAATGCAAAATAATAATCAGTTGAATATGCCCTGTTCATCCTCCAGGCTCATGACCGGGTCATGCAGGACATTAAGCTGCTGCGCTCCGGTCAGTCCAAACAGCTCTTCAACAACATGCGGTCCATCTCTGCCGCTGTGGTGGAGAACGGCGGCCCGGTGTCTCCTCATCCCCTGGGTTTCTAAAGTCCCACTCTCAACCGCATCAATGGATTTAATTTGTTTTTGGGGTTTTTTCTCCAATTTTTCAGGATTTCTACATCCTATATTGAATGCCAAGTCCAGCCAGAATTGACCCATTTTAATACATCTATTTCGTCACTTTTTTGTTGTTGTTGTTGTCAAAAGCAAACAAGCCTTGAAAATCTTGACTCGTTTCTCGCTGTGGCAGACAGGAGCTTGTAAATAGACTGTAGCTGACCGATCAGTGATTCACAGCTAAAGTATGAATATATGCAGTTTTTTGTTTTAACAATATTACAACACAATGTGACGCAGATGGCGACTCAGTCAACAGAAACGTCTGTAAAATAAAAAGCAGTTTAGGGTCTAAACTAAGGGCAAAGTTTTTCGGTTGTCTTTCTATTTTTTATGTACATTAGTCTAAATTGTGTTTCATGTATTTAAGAATGTGCTTTGTATGTACTAAAAAGGCCTTTCTGCATGTGAAGCTCTTATAAACACAATATCAGATTGAAAACTTTTGCCTTAGGTTCTGATTGAAGTTCCTGCTGTGCTTTGACTCAAAACTCATCAATGCAGCCGCTGGCTCTCATTAGCAGTCCTCAACTGTAAACGTGTACTGTCATCTGCATATTTAATTTTAAAGTGCATACTTATCTGGGAAGCCTGTGGGTTTATCATATGTATAATTACATGCTAATATTTATATTGAGTGTCTCAGATGTTAGACTTGGATCACATTGGTCGAGGGGTTTCAAGTGATAAAATATGCTCACAATATTCCACGCTTTTTTTTTCTTTTTTTTTTTTTGTGACATGCTGTTTAGATGAATCTAAAAGTATGTTTATCCGTAAACTTATCTGCCTCATCAACACACGTGTGGAGCTCAGTGGACTTGCAACATGCCATTAAACACGCATCTGCTGAGCTTTGACTTTGTCTCTTTTCTCCAAAACCCTTCAGGCTTCGGCAGCGTTTATGTCTTGAGCGTTGAGAACGTACTTCCTCTCCGTACTAAAATACCCGCCTTGCCTCTTGGTTTCATTTCTGCAGCCTCTTCTAAGGAAAAAGGCGCTCTGCAGGAATGCCCGTAAGAGCAAGCGCCAAGAGTGCGTACACAGGTTGCGCTTAGAAGAACAAGCGAGTCTCGCGGCTGTGAGTGCGAGACGAGGATCGGACCGGACCGGACCGGACCGGACCGGACGCGGCCTGTGGCAGAAGCGTCTCACAAGGCAACGCGGCGTCCAATGAGCAGAATTCCCCTGTCGTGTGCTGCCATCGCCGTGAAACTCAACTGTCAACTCGGGCAGCGGCGGTGCAATCCCCCTACCGTGGTAAACCCCAGGGAATAGATGCGCAATTTGAAGCAAATGTCAGCACTTGTTTGGAAAGAGTTGTCTATCAGAGCAACTTTTCTGTTTTGTTGCCAAGAAATAATCTGGTACTTTCTGTAATGGCTCTAAATTTGACACCAAAAGAGCAGAGGTGGTAAATAGGCATGCAGTGTTAAATTAAACCAAAAATAAATCATGCATGGCTATTTTATTTTTAGATTTCACGTAAAATTAAGAGGCTGTAGTTCTTCTAATTATGTATGTTATTAAAATTTGAGCGCCTTTATTGGTTTGACAAGAATTTGCGATCTAATCTTTATTCATCTGTCAAGATACAAAACATATTAATAGTAATAGTTTAAACCGCCAGCTGACGCTATCAATACAAACTAACTATGAGGGTTAAATGAGTTTTCGGGAAGTCCTGGGAATGTTAAATGATACGGAAAAGTTGAGCATCCCATGACCCGGCTAGTGCTCCCTTAGCATCAGTGAGAAAAGCCTTGGGGATTATCAATATGCTTTTTTGGTAAATGACATCTCTTTTTGATCAGCAGTGGTTTTGGGAACTCTATCCTGGATGCCATTTTGTGGAACCAAAGCTTGAGAAATTGCTTCATCAACCTTTACTATTTGGGATCTTTTAGCCTACTTCATGCGGTCAGGCAGGTCCTGTTCAAGTGATATGTATTTTTGTTTTACATTAGGCCAGTATAGCCCAGATGTGGTTAGTAAATTTGATTTAAAAAATGTGTTTAAATTTCACTGAAATCATGATTTAATGTGAAGTAAAATTACAGCACTGTTCCTTTAAGAACAACTTAGAAATCATTTGAAATCTGCTTTTTGTGTTTTTATGAAGAAACACAACGGCAAAAATTAATAAACTACAATAAGTTGTAATGTTTTAAATGTTTTATTTTTCTGATTTTTTTCTTTCTTTTTTTTAGAATTTTAGAAAAACAGTAACATGTTCAGAGGAAAGAAAAATTCACATTTTGAGACGTTCTTTAGCTTATGGGCTCAGCTGAAAATAGAGTCAAATTTTCAAATAAATAAGTGGTAAGTTGCATAACGGTGTGACGAACAAGGAGGAAGTGGACCACGTGTTATTTCTGCCATTTGTTTCTCATCACTGTAAAATAAAAGATACTTAAAAATATGAAGCAATGTTTTTCTTCAAACCCTTGGAGAAACAAAACGAAACGGTTGCCTGTAGTAACGTGTTATCTCGAAATACATGGAGGGTTGATGAAAATCAGCAAGAGACTTGCTGCACAAAACAAGCTCCATGATCAGTTTCCTTGAATGTATTTTTCCCTTCGATCGAAATGCCATTGATCCCAATATCGCATAAAACAGATAAGTAGCGTAAAAAATATTTCAAACTTAAAACTATACAAATAACTTAAAGTAGTTTTTACACAATAATATATATATATATTGTTAGAAACAGGCATGTTTGTGTGCTTTGATGTTTGTTGAGCACAGGCCAAAGTGTTGGCTCCTCTCGTGAAAATCAAAAATGCCTTCAGCCATTTTGGTTCCTTCTGCTGATTTCAGTCTCAGGAAATCAGGAATCTCAGGCTTAACGCCGTTTTATCCCAGGGCGAGACTGACACCAAGCATCCAGGTGGCTGAAGGTCAGGACATATCCTCCATGGCGGGCGGCATAATCCCAAAATGAGGAAGAGGTCACATTCAGACGGACTACTGGGTTCCCCTGAGCCGTGAAAAGCAGTTCAGCAATCAGAGAACCGTTCCACCCGGCCTTGGAGGAAAGAAAAATTTGTGGCTCAAGGTCTGGCTTTGTGTTTTCCCTTGCATCTCCACATCCTTGTTCAAATTTCTTGTGGAGAAATTTATTAGAAGCGTCTTATGAGTTCCTTTCCAGCACAAGATGAAAATATCTGCTGGGGGTAAAGATAAAAATCAAAAATAGAGAGAGAAGCTTTTCCCTAATTAGCCTCCCCCCCATCAGGCTTTGTCCATAATTCCTTCTCATGAATGTGAGTCATGTGAGAGACTGGTGTCCGGCTCGGTCTCCTCCTCCCGGTTCTCCTGAGGGACTTCCAGGGAGATGATGGTCTGAACAGTCAGCGTTCGCTCCCTGAACACAAGGAAAACAAGAGCAACAAAACAGGCGGTGAGTTCATGTGTCTCTTTAAATTCTTCTGAAATCCACTTTGCGCCTTTTCTGTTGGACGCAGTTGCAGTAACGGCGAAATGCATTAGCTGTTTTTTTAGGCGCTCGAAATTCCCGGATGGTCATTTTTCTTCAGAACGACTAATCTTCGGAGCAACTGCAGAAAAAACCAACGAAGCCTCTCCCTCAGCCGTGTCTGCTCGGCAGTGTGACCTAAATGTTGCATGAAATGCGAACCTTTATTTAGACAGCTCATGTGACTTAACGTTGTTTATTTTAAACAGGGAAGCGTCCTGCGTGACATTTTCCCACTGGACTTCATCAAAACATATTAGTCATTTTACAACTGCAATGAAGTTCTCCATCAGGAGTTATTTTTCTTCTCGTATTTATGTTAATTGTGTGAGATTTTTCAGACGTTCCTGTTTGGAATAGGAACACCTATTAGAAATGGCCACTTCTCTTCTCATCACACCTCTTTACAGGCCACAGAGTCTCAGATCAGGATCCTCAGAGTACAAACAAATATCAAATTTAGCTGACGATAGTTGACTATATTTTGAATTTTTTAGCTTTTTTCACAGACATATTCAAGCACTTCCCTGTGATGGACTGGTGACATGTTCAGGGTGCTACAGATTTAAGCGCCAGCACCAACAACTCTGTTCAAGGATAAGCAAATATAAACAACGGCTGGAAGTTTAAATGCATCATTAGTTAGAAATAAAATATGTCAGATATATAAGATAGGCCACACCTCAAATATTCCACTCTGCACTTCATTAACCATGTTTGGATGATGGCATAAAAACATGAATATGTTAGTGAGGAATAAGACATTTGTCATTTTAACTAGGATTAATAAAAGATTTAAGCTTTGGGCACCAAGTGAAGCGGAAATTTTTCTGGAGCGGGACTGAGGATGGCTAAAAAGCTGCATTACCTTTAACTTACTGGGTTAGGTTTAGGGTAGGGCAGGGATAAATCTTTTAGATATTAAAAATGAAGAAAGCTGCAGCTCAGAAACATTGTCAAGCACCCCAGGAATTAAATCAGTTTATAAATAGGTCTATATGAACATGGCGTTATGATGCTTCCAGTTTTTACAGAAACATTTGATCGAAACAACCCGATCGCTCAGCGGCACACATTCCCATACAGTCGATATTCATAAGACGATTTACTCAAATTCTGCTTACTGCAGGAACCACCAATAATTCCTGGTGAATTTTGGTGATTCACCAGGAATCAAAAGTTTTGCATAGAAAAAAACTTAAGTTGAGTCAATGAGCATGTAGAAATCCGTCATCCCGAGTCTGCATATGGCGACAGCGGAAAGGAATAACTTGTTTTTAACCGGTGAAAATTCTCCAGCAAAACCTCGCTCAGTGTGAGCAGACGCAACGGAGAAGAACCGGTCCAAGAGAGTACTTTCTGTCTTACAGAGTCTTAAAAGCAGCAGTAGTCGGCAGCGGCTTTAAATGGGCGAAAATGCACAAAATCAAAACAGATACGCTCTACGAGATCACGTCAAGGAACTTTGACATCCTCTACTACCATCCATGAATCATCTCTTTTATCTGGTGCAATCAGTCACTGTTTTGATTGACCATCAGGTGCCCCTAATACTGCCTGCAGCACACTGACGGCCCTCTTACCAAATCACTTACATACCCATTGATGGCCCTCAGATTTACCAAACTGTATTCAAATGGCACTGATCCTTTTCAGTCATTTGAAAGTGAGTGTTTAGAAGAGCAGTGACTGGGAGGTGGAACAGAAATACACCTATAATTTATTAAGTCTTTTAACCAACTAATAAACATAATAAACCCACAAAGATGAGTTTCTCTCTGAGTGATCACACATCACAGAAAAAGTAAAAAACTTGAGCCGACGTTGCGGAAGCGAGGAGTGGACGTCAGTGCTCCGCACGTAAAATATGTCAGGAAACATATCAGTTTTCTTGTAGTTCAAACATCACAGCTATTGGAAAAAAACCCAACAACAACAACAACAAAAAAAAAACTGCTACCGTCAGCTGAAGTCCGGTGATGTTTTTCTTCCCCTCAGGCTTTATTGCAGCCCGTGTGTGTAAATGACCAGAGGATGCACCACAGTGGTGTTTTTCCCTGAACAGCCTGACCACACAGACCAACTGCTGGCGGTGGATCACACCGTCAAGCCCTGACACCCACTGACACTTAGAGAAGTCCGCCATATTGAGGCTGTCACCATGTCGCCTGGCGATTCAAAGGTGTGACAGCTGCAGGTTGTCTTCGACTCCCCTTTCATGTCTCAATCCTTCCATGGGAAGGACAGAAATGTGTCTAAGAGCAAGCTTCAAATGTTGCGTGAAACTGGTAAAGGTAATAAACAATCTGGACCAATTGAGTCCAACTTTTCCCAGTAAAACTATCGTTCATTCCATCATGACAACAAAGCTGCATTCCAATGGTGTTCCAACATTGTTTTGCTGACAAAAAGAAAAAAAAAAGTGTGTTTGTGGGCCTTAAGTGTTTCATCCCTGAGTGGAGAAATTCAAAAACTCAAAACAGCAAAGAATGCAACACAGGAAGTTACAAAGTCTTGCAGCTGAATGTGAACTTCAAGCACTGACAGTAAACGCTCCACTTTCCAGTCAGAGGAACGGATTTCCTCAGATTCCAAATCATTACTTGCAAAACGGAGAATTCATGCAACGCAGTTTTTCTCGATGCAAAAATAAATGTAATTCTGAAACTACTTGACAAAATATTGCATGCATCCCTTTTTTAGGAAAAGACATTTTTTTAAAGTAGATATTTGATTGCATTTGCCCTCAGAGCAATTCACTGTCCCTCACAAAGTAACAAATAACTTTATCGCTGATTCATATTTTGAGCCCGTAAAGTAGCTTTCGGCAGAGAGGACAATGTTACATTTTTCTGGTATTTATCTTCCGCCAACTACTCCTCAGTTCCTGTAAATGTTTTTTATAATTTTTTTTTTTTTTTTTTTGCTGCAGTAATGAAGAATCAGCAGGAGTTGTTACAGAAAGTTTTGAAAGAGATGCCCAGATGAGGTGGGAGAGGTGATGGTAAGGGTTGATGAAATCCAATGCTTCACAATGATAATAATGAATAATAATAAAAGAATGAAAATGCATAAGTTGATGAATACATTATGGCTTTGGTAGCCCACCCAAGGTCCTCCTCTGGGCATCCCTCTAAACATTTTCTGGAGACGCCCCTGCGCATCTCCAAAGAGGCGAGAAACGTGTCGGAGCGGGACTTTACCTTCCTCTGGGTTGTGTACGGGACCAGTTGGCTCTCACGGTCCAGCCGAGCACCGCCTTCAGGTACCGGGAGCAGCAGGGGAACCGGCGATTCAGCTGCTCCAGAAGTTCCTCTTTGCGCAAGCCGTAAATGACGGGCGCCACGCACTGCGCCACGCTGAAGAACGCAAAGATAACCACGGCGGACAGCTCCTTGGTGTCGCGCTCAATGAAGCGTTTATTCACCATGAGGTACAGCACGAAGTTCACGAAGTTGGGCAGGATGTACACGGCCAGCTGGCTGCCGTGCAGGGCGATGGTCCGGCAGCCGGCCCGGTTCCTCCGGTTGAGCACCCCGAGCCGCCGTCCCTCCACCAGGATCCGCACGTAGCTGTAGAGGATGAGCAGCGTGCACAGCCCGATGAACAGCACCTTCCGGAGCTCGCCCTTTTTCAGCTTATTCCGGTCGCAAGTGTCGGGGTCTCCCTCCGCGTTGAGAGGCAGGCTGAGGGGGATCACCAGGGCAACCATCCAGGTGAGCAGGCCCAGCAGCCACGGCCAGTACGCCGCCGTGCAGGCAGACGTGTAGCGCATCGGGTGGCACACGGCCACGAAGCGGTCCAGAGCCATGGCCGTGAGCGTCAGCAGGATGTTGGAGGCGCTGCTGATCAGGACGGTGATCATGGCCCGGCAGGCGGTGCGGCTCGGCCGCGCCCCCAGGTGGATCTGGTAGTAGAAGACGCTGCTCATGCCCAGGTGGACCAGCGCGGACACCAGCAGGTGGAAGACCAGCACGAAGCGCGCCTGGCTCCGCAGCCGCGCCTCGCGGACGATGGTCCAGTTGATGATGAGGTTGAAGAAGAGAAGGACCGAGAAGGAGAGCGTGGACACGTAGAAGCGCACGTACGGGTATTCCTGCACCGGCTCCAGCTCCGTGGTGTTGTTAGGCATCGTGCCTCAGCGGGGTCTGGAGTGATGCTGGCGGTGGGAAGGAGAGCTGCTGCGCCTCATGATCCTCCCCGTCTGCTGCCCGACTGGAGACTGACTCAAGCTTCCGCCTCGCGCTCTCTCTGTCAGTTTTTTCTTTCTTTCTTTTTTTTTTTTTATGAACTCAGTCGCGTCTGTCACGTCTGTGTTGCTATGTCGACCTGATACCAGAAAAAAAAAAACAACAACAACCCAATAATAAATAAAACACTCAGGCATTTCTCTACGGTCAAACTAATTCCAACTCACTTTAATAGTAAGAGAATTATTATTAAAGTGTATTTGGATATGTTTTTTTTATATCTAAAAATCCTCGTTTTATTGTTTTTGTTCTTTCAAACTAGTTTCACAGATTGTTGACTCTACACAGTAAAAATGCCAGTGTTAAAATCTCAGGTGTAATGTTAAATAAAGAGTGTGAGTGTTGTTTTGACACCACACAGCTTTAAATGAACACTGCCAGAATAAATTCCGTAATATTTGCGTTGTTAAATTCCAGCGTTAATTGGTTGGTGTTGCTTAAGCCCCGCCTTCGCGTAACGGCTGCAGAGCACGTGCTACTTCCTGTCATCACGCCACCAGTCAGTCTCTGAGTACGGCTACATTTCTTACACGAAGGACACAATTCTTTCCTAAAGGTGAGTCCTTGTGTGGCACAGACTGCCGTGGCTGCCTTTTAAGGCGCACTCTGTGTTTGCTGTGTCCTACGATGCAACTTTTCTCAACTTCTACACATTCATCCAAACAACAGTTCATGGGATTTATGCATCAACAGCAAAGGAGAGCCCCAGAGTCAAGGAAATCAGAGTGACAATTAACGACACTTAAATATGCCAACATGTTACATTTGTAAGGTTCAGCACAGGAATTCTTCAACTTTTGTATGAGCTGTGCATTAAAGGTCTGTAATACTGAAATGGGTTTAATAAAAGTTGAACTTTCCATTTCTGTGTATTGTTTTGAATATTTTTTAGCACTGGATTTGGTTGATATCGACACCTTGTGGGGTCAATTATTTACCTTTTTAACACGACATAATGTGTTGAGGTTAACACTACACTGGTGTTACTTTTAACATTATATTCTAACACTGTTGTAATGTTAATGTGACACTCAGTATTGTTGAATATTAACAATATCTGGTGTTAATTTAACAAAAAATGGGTGTCAACCTTTTAACACTTTGAAAAGTGTTACTTTAACACCAGCTGACTTGGACACATATAGACACTTTGTGGGTGTTAAAATTAACACTGTGGGTGTTAATTCAGCACTGGCATTTTTACTGTGTATAAAGAATTTTTTGCTTTTAGGTTTTCTGATCCTTTGGCGTTTGGTTGTTTTGATTGTGTCTTTATTTTTTATATTATTTTTATTATTATTATTTTTGTCAAGCGCGAGGAAAGTAGTGAAACCTTTTTTTCAGTGTCCAGTCCGATCTTTGGAGCTGTTTTGCTTAACCTATAAGCACAAAGCATGAACTTTGACACGCTTTGTTGATTTATCTGTACGTTTCACGGTGAGCTGCTGCTGAGATGCAGTTTGAGTGTTCGGTGGTCCTTTAATAGTCAGAAGTAACATCTGCTGCTTAATAATGACCTGCTGTACTTCCCAGAAAAACATCTTTGAACAGTGCAAAAAAAAAAAAAAAGTCTGTTTTTGAGTGTCACACATTTAGTGCCACCGCTTGTCTCACTTTACCCTCAAACAGAAGCTTTGTAGTAAATAACTTTGTCCAAATGATTTTATTTGGTAATCGGGGGTCATATTTTCTCTTATGATCTTAAAAATGCAGAAATTGAGATTATATCTACACCTCAAAATCAAATAAACAAAAATCACAATACCACCACTAATTGTAGAGTAACACCTACTAAGTACTGCAGAAAATCTTGTGATCTCACTTTCTAACTTTGTGTTTTGGCAATGAATCAGCAGTCCTGAAATGACAGCTGTGAACTAATTTTTTATAGACTTAGAGACTTAGACTTAGACTTGACTTTATTGATCCCTTGGGAAGACTCCCTCAGGAAATTATAGTTACCAGCAGCTCACAGGCAAAAATGTGGCACACAGTAAGCATACACAAAATACAAAAAAATACAAATTAAATACAAAACAAAGAATATAAATACAACACAAAAGGAAATTATAGCAATTTGGTGGATAGATTGACCAGTGATATGGTATTGCACTGTATGGTTTGGCCTGATAAATATGGAGTTCACATTTGTAGAAAAACTCCTCCTTCTTCCCTCTGTCCTGTGTCACCTCCGACCCCCCAGTGAGGAGTTGTACAGTCTGAAGGCGTGGGGGACAAAGGAGTTCTTGAATCTATTGAATCTATTTTTGCATATTCTAATATTAGGGTTTTCCAGAAACCCGCTGTATTCACTGTTCAAATGTTCTTGCATTTGAAACGCATTAGTCATTCATCGTTGAGCAGGTGTTTTCTCTTTCCTCCATCGAATGTGCGTAAAAGCACCTTGGTGCCCCCTGCTGGCAGTTTAAACCTCTGCAGAGCAGAGGCACATTTCATCGGTGTTCACAACACGCTGTATGAGAGACAAACAAATGGACAGACACACAAACACATCTACTGTCCGACTAAATATACATCATTAAATAATCAATCACTAATCACTAAAGTTAAAATATATCTGCGACTAAACACAGCGTTTTGGTCCTGACTGCAAAAACAATTTTACTGTTGATCTTTTTTTGAATGATGACCTTTAAAGTCCCTGTTTGAAAGCATGTAAGTGCATGATGGTCAACAACACTGAATCTCAGGCAATAGACGAGAAGCGATGGAGGAAAAATTTATATATACTTAGAAGCAAAGAATTGACTTCCCGTCTGAGAAACATGGTAGTGGCAGCATAATGCAAAAATAGTTTCCAATGTGACAAAAAAGAAAAAAAAGAGACAAATCCCGAGATTTTCTTAAGGGAAATTCTGGTGACATTATAGTCACAATAAATACAGACCTAAAGATGATGCCGCTTCTTCACATCAGCCTGTGTGAATACTTTAGACATTGAAACATATTTATCAATCATGTATTGATAAATATTTCACTGTCTAAAATGTGTTTTCTACCCAAAAAAATGTAAGTCACATACCACAGAAAAACCTGCAAATTGGTGAATATTGAGCCATAAATAGCTGGGGGTACATATTCTGAGTTCAGGAAAGCCTTCCATAAAAGTGACACTAAATATTGGAAAGTGAAGATGTTGTCCTGTACTTCAGCCATCTGGGTCTGATCAGAATCAGTTTTATTTGGGCCACTGACACAAACGAGACTTCGGCTTCTGACTGTATAATTATCTCTACAACCGCCAGGGGGCGCCATTGTAACAAATGACTGCATTTCTTTCATCCCAGACACGGATCATTAAGTTCTATCAGTTGTTCATAGAACAAGTTTTAGAAAAAGCTCCTTTGTACTTGGTATTATCTAAATGATATTTGATGCTGCTGGTAGATCAGACAAGATAAACAATAAAGGGTTTTTATTGCATATGTGGTGAAGAAAATTAACACTGTGCTTTGTGGAATGAGGGTATTTTTGTTTAGTCGACATGAGAAAGTTCTGCAGACTATCTGAGAGGCTGTGTGAACATATGCAGTGCAGGATGGGAGTCAGTTCTTCTAAATGTTTGCACCTCCCACCAGGAGGAGACGCTGACCCAGAACCAGCTGGCAGGTCTCCATTCTGGGCTGGGAAACCCTGGGGATCGTTCAGGGAGAGCGTTTTTCAGAATCCATGTCTCGGTTTTCTCTCATGCTCTCATGAACCTTTAGAGTTTGGAAATCTTGAATCAATTATTTTCTCTTTTGATAATTTCATCTTTTTGGGGGGCTTATTTTAAAAAAAAATATTTTTTCCATTTTGGTTTATTTCTAGTCTCGGTTCCGTTATTCCTATTACTTGTGTTTTGGTCTTGTTTCAGTAGAGTCGTTTTTATTTCAGTTTTTTTTTTCCTGTTATTTCGGTTTATATCTGCTCCTTCATTCTTGTTGTTTTCCTCTCATCTCAGCTGCCAATTTTCTCCTGGTTCCAGCTGCTGATCGTTGCCTCTCTTCATCCAGTTATCTGTCCTCTGGTCACTTCCACTCCCTCTTCAGTACTTAAGCTCTCCGGCCTCTTCATTCCCCGCTGGCTCCTTCCATTTCATTCTACTCTTCTATTTGCTTTTTTCATTAAAAAGTGAATTTTATGCAGATCCCGTGTGTCAGGGTCTTGGGGTTGTTCTTAGCGTTTTGTCGCCATGGGTTTGGTTTGGGTGGTTGTGCTTCTTCTTTTCCACCAGAGGGCGCTGTCAGGACGGTGGGCTGGATTACGTCAGCGAGCACACCGGTTGCGAGTTGAGCTCATCAGGAGCAGCGTCTTCAGGAGCAACCTGCCAGTCTTCGGCGCCTGAGTGTCTTCCCGTATTGGTACCTCTGAGCCTCCCTGTTGCTGTCAAGCGTTCTTTTCCTTCTCGTCTGAGATTGCCCTCCTGTGACTGTCTCCTTGTCGCTTTCTTCTTTCACCAGACCATTCACCCGATGCAGTGGAAGGATTTCCCGTTGTGCTGAGTTTCTCGACTCACCTTCTCTGTGCAACAACAGGCTCCCCTCGGATTCCTTGGCTGGCTGCTCCTCGCTCCTCGTGCCTCGCTCCTCGTCCTGCTCCGCGTTTCCACCGTGGACACCGAGCCCACCTGTCCGCCCGCCTACACACACACACCCTGCCGCTACCCTGCAGTGAATCTCTTCCACGCTGCAGCTGTCTACCCCTCAAGTAAGACTGTTCCTGTTTACCCTCACACCGTGTTTCCGACTGTCCCTGAACTCACCACCTCATCTGTTTACATAGTTCCCGATCGCTCCCCCTCCCGAGACGCTCCTGTGGACCGGACCCGAATCCCTGTCATTCCTCGTTCACTGTTGTGTAAAATAAACCTTGTAAATATTTGCACTCCACCTGGATCTCTCTGCGTATTGTGTTCTGCATATGGGCTGGAAATAAAATTCCCCAATATGACAGAACACTCAGGCCAAACTCTCAGTCCAGCGGACGCAATTCGCAAAACGTTGATCGAGCAGCAATCTGAGATCCAGGCCCACAAGGTGGCGCTTAGACAACTCCATGATCTCCAGACGGAAACGAACCAGCGTTTAGGAGAGCTAACCGCGTTTCTGCAGAGCTCTCATTCACCACCATCTACTCCTGCCCCCGTTCCTGGTCCGATAGCTCCGGTTCCGCCCGTCTTTTCCGACGTCCGCCTCCCCGGGCCAGAAAAATTTTCCGGAGACCGTACAAGGTGTAATGGTTTTGTGCTACAATGTTCTATTATATTCAACAGCGCTCCCCAGAGTTTCTCTCAAGACAGCACAAAGATAGCCTACATGCTCGCACAGCTGTCTGGTCAAGCCTTATTATGGGCAGAATCCCGTTTCCCTGACCCCACGGATTACGGTGTTTCATTTGACCATTTCCTGACTGAATTTAAACAGGTTTTTAGCTTGGACTCCGATAAGACCCACATTTCCCGTGAGTTCTTGCACATAAACAGGGCAAACAGACTGTGGCTGATTTTGCTATCCACTTCCGCACCAAAGCCGCTTCCACGGGGTGGAATGCGGCAGCGCTAAAGAGCGTGTTTTTCCAGGCGCTTAATGAGCCTATACAAGACCAATTAGCCACTTTAGACGAGCCAAAGACTCTAGAGGACCTTATCAGTATCGCCATCAGGCTCGATAATCGTCTCCGCTTCCGCGCTCGTGAAAGAGGTCGGCACCGCTCTCCCGAGGCAGACCACGGACGGCTTAGAGCAGCCCCGCTAGCATCTCCTGCCCGCGTTTCGGCTACCCCCGAACCCATGCAGCTGGGTGGTACGCGTCTCACACCGCAGGAGCGACAACGTAGAATGTCGAGTCGCCTCTGTCTCTACTGCGGTGCGCCTGGCCATTTCCGTTCCTCCTGCCCGCTCCGGTCAAACTCCCAGGTCCGCCAGCCGGAGTGAGGGTGGTGGCGGACCACCAGAATCAGAAGACCTCACCGCGACTCCTTTTGCCGGCTACCATAACCCACGCTAATCAGTCATTCCCATTATCCGCTCTCGTTGATTCGGGGTGTGAACGGAACCTATTGGACGAGGTTTTTGTCAAAGAGAGGGGCGTTGAAACAGTCCCGTTGCCAACTCCTTTTAGAGTCACCTCTCTAGACGGTAGGACATTACAGCCTATTACTCACCAGACGAAACCGCTCCACCTGACCATTTCCGGCAACCACTCTGAGTGGATTTCTTTCTTCGTGTTTCCCACTTCTAATTCTCCGGTAGTCTTAGGTTTCCAGTGGCTCAAACAACATAACCCCCAAATAGACTGGTCCGAGGGGCACGTCGTTTCTTGGTCTACTCCCTGCCACTCATCATGTCTCCGCTCTGCAGTTCCTCCCGGGTCGTCATCCGACTTCCTGCAGACGACAGATCAAATTGACCTCTCCACCATACCCCCTGAATACCACGACCTCTCTGCAGTCTTCAGCAAGGTAAAGGCTCTTTCCCTGCCGCCGCATCGACCCTATGATTGTTCCATTGACCTGCTCCCGGGAGCCCCTCTGCCCTCCAGTCGCCTATATCACATTTCCCGTCCGGAGAGGGAGACCATGGAACAATATTTAAAGGAATCTCTTGCGGCAGGGATCATCCGACCTTCATCATCACCACTAGGAGCGGGGTTCTTCTTCGTTGGGAAGAAGGACGGATCCCTGCGGCCCTGTATTGATTATAGAGGACTCAACAACATCACTGTTAAAAATAAGTACCCTTTACCGCTATTATCCTCTGCATTCGAGCCCGTCCAAGGAGCCGCCGTCTTTACTAAATTAGACCTGAGAAATGCCTACCATCTGCTCCGCATTCGCGATGGCGACGAATGGAAAACTGCCTTCAAGACTCCCATGGGGCAGTTCGAATATTTGGTTATGCCTTTTGGATTGTCCAATGCCCCTGCGTTTTTCCAAGCGCTGGTAAACGATGTCCTCCGAGACTTCCTAAATGTATTTGTATTTGTTTACCTCGATGATATTTTAATTTTCTCCAAGTCAGTGGAGGAACACAGACTTCACGTGCGGCAGGTTCTCCAGCGATTGCTTGAGAACAAACTTTACGTAAAGGCAGAGAAATGTGAATTTCACCAGTCCTCCGTCTCATTTCTGGGTTTCATCCTAGGGGGCGGACAGGTGAGGCCTACGGAGGAGAAGATCCAGGCAGTATTGGAATGGCCCGTTCCGGAAACTCGCAAACAGCTCCAACGATTCCTAGGATTTGCCAACTTCTATCGTAGATTCATTCGCAATTACAGTCAAACCGCGTTACCCCTGACCGCTCTGACTTCCTCTAAGGTTCCATTCCGTTGGACCCCAGAGGCTGAAAGGGCCTTTAATCACCTCAAGAGCCTGTTCTCCAATGCCCCCATCCTCATTCAGCCAGATCCGTCTCGTCAGTTCATCGTAGAGGTGGACGCCTCTGACATGGGAGTCGGAGCTGTGCTGTCCCAAATTTCCGCAGTTGACAATAAAACTCATCCGTGTGCCTTCTTCTCACGCAGGTTGTCCCATCAGAAAGGAACTACGACGTGGGGGACCGGGAACTGCTGGGCATAAAACTAGCCTTGGAGGAGTGGAGACATTGGCTGGAGGGCGCGGAACACCCGGTGCTGGTCTGGACCGATCACAGGAACCTCGCCTACCTGCAGTCTGCCAAGAGGCTGAACCCTCGCCAGTCACGGTGGTCACTATTCTTTTCCCGATTTAATCTGTCTATTTCCTATCGTCCAGGCTCCAGAAACACAAAGCCAGATGCACTGTCCCGGCTTTACTCTCCCGACGACTCTGACAACCTTCCTGCTCCCATTCTCCCACCCAGTTGCACAGTGGGAGCTCTGACTTGGGAGATCGAGGAAATAATCACGCAAGCTCAACACTCCGAACCCCCTCCAGAGTCCTGTCCGGCTAACAAGATATTCGTCCCTTCTTCCGTGCGCACCCAGTTCCTCCAGTGGATCCACGCCTCCCGATTTTCGGGTCATCCCGGAGTCAGCCGGACGATTGCCCTGGTCAACAGACGGTTCTGGTGGCCATCAGTCCACAAAGACGTCCGAGAGTATGTCCGGGCCTGTTCCATTTGCTCCAGAAATAAATCCTCCCATCAACTCCCTTCAGGTCTCCTGCAACCACTTCCCACTCCTCAGCGACCCTGGTCTCATATCGCCATAGATTTTGTCACGGGTTTGCCACCCTCTAAGGGTATGACTACCATCCTTTCTATAGTCGACAGGTTTTCCAAGGCCTGTCATTTTGTCCCGCTCCGCAAACTTCCCTCTGCCCTTCAAACGGCTCAGCTCTTAGTAAAACACGTTTTCCGGCTTCACGGCATTCCCGCGGACATACTCTCGGACAGGGGCCCTCAGTTCACTTCCCAGGTTTGGCGGGAGTTTTGCTCTGCGTTAAACGCCAAAACATCACTCACATCTGGTTTTCACCCACAGTCGAACGGACAAACCGAACGGCTGAACCAAGATCTCGAGGCCACCCTCCGATGTTTTTCTTCCTCCAACCCTTCCGACTGGTCTCTGTTTCTACCATGGGTAGAATACGCTCACAATATTCATGTCTCCTCTGCCACAGGTTTGTCCCCATTCGAGGCGTCCCTGGGCTACCAACCTCCGCTGCTACCCTCTGATGAAGATTCCATCTCTGTCCCTTCTGTCCGTCACCACATCCGCCGTTGTCATAAGGTTTGGAGTTCCACTATTCATAATCTCCACCTCACCGCTGCACAGATAAAACGGCAGGCTGACCGTAAGCGGCGCCCCGCCCCGACTTACACACCTGGTCAACAGGTATGGCTGTCCTCCCACGACATCCCCTTAAAATCCATTTCCAGGAAGCTTTCACCCCGTTACATCGGCCCTTTTGAAATTGAGACTATCATTAACCCGTCTGCAGTCTGCCTCCGTCTCCCCGCCTCTCTCCGCATCCATCCCACCTTTCATGTCTCCCAGATCAAACCCGTACAGACCAGCACGCTCTGCCCTCCAGCCGAGGCTCCTCCGCCCCCCCGTGAGATCGATGGCCATCCGGCTTACACGGTTCGGAGAATCGTGGATTCCCGTCGTCGCGGTAGGGGGTGGCAGTATCTCGTAGATTGGGAGGGTTACGGCCCTGAGGAGCGTTCCTGGGTCCCGGGGTCTTACATTCTGGACCCGTCCCTTATTTCTGATTACCGGGCTTCGCTTCCCTCTACCTCGTCTGGGTTGCCTAGAGGCAACCGTTAGGGGGGGGGTACTGTCAGGGTCTTGGGGGTGTTCTTAGCGTTTTGTCGCCATGGGTTTGGTTTGGGTGGTTGTGCTTCTTCTTTTCCACCAGAGGGCGCTGTCAGGACGGTGGGCTGGATTACGTCAGCGAGCACACCGGTTGCGAGTTGAGCTCATCAGGAGCAGCGTCTTCAGGAGCAACCTGCCAGTCTTCGGCGCCTGAGTGTCTTCCCGTATTGGTACCTCTGAGCCTCCCTGTTGCTGTCAAGCGTTCTTTTCCTTCTCGTCTGAGATTGCCCTCCTGTGACTGTCTCCTTGTCGCTTTCTTCTTTCACCAGACCATTCACCCGATGCAGTGGAAGGATTTCCCGTTGTGCTGAGTTTCTCGACTCACCTTCTCTGTGCAACAACAGGCTCCCCTCGGATTCCTTGGCTGGCTGCTCCTCGCTCCTCGTGCCTCGCTCCTCGTCCTGCTCCGCGTTTCCACCGTGGACACCGAGCCCACCTGTCCGCCCGCCTACACACACACACCCTGCCGCTACCCTGCAGTGAATCTCTTCCACGCTTCAGCTGTCTACCCCTCAAGTAAGACTGTTCCTGTTTACCCACACACCTTGTTTCCGACTGTCCCTGAACTCACCACCTCATCTGTTTACATAGTTCCCGATCGCTCCCCCTCCCGAGACGCTCCTGTGGACCGGACCCGAATCCCTGTCATTCCTCGTTCACTGTTGTGTAAAATAAACCTTGTAAATATTTGCACTCCACCTGGATCTCTCTGCGTATTGTGTTCTGCATATGGGCTGGAAATAAAATTCCCCATTATGACACCGTGTTCGTGTCTGCATTTAGGTCCTGCTGCACCTGACCCCTGGACCTGTAATGTCTGACTCCATTCACGTTGGTAAATGTTGCAGTCTATGTAACAATCAAAAATCTAAAATGATTTTTGATTGTTACATTTCAATATTTATTACACAAAGATAAAGCCAAGATTAAAACGTTTTCTGACTCCCCAAATATAGTAAACTTACAAAATAAAAGATGAGTCATGTTTGTCATCCATCTATCTATCTATCTATCTATCTATCTATCTATCTATCTATCTATCTATCTATCTATCTATCTATCTATCTATCTATCTATCTATCTATCTATCTATCTATCTATCTATCTATCTATCTATCTATCTATCTATCTATCTATCTATCTATCTATCTATCTATCTATCTATCTATCTATCTATCTATCTATCTATCTATCTATCTATCTATCTATCTATCTATCTATCTATCTATCTATCTATCTATCTATCTATCTATCTATCTATCTATCTATCTATCTATCTATCTATCTATCTATCTATCTATCTATCTATCTATCTATCTATCTATCTATCTATCTATCTATCTATCTATCTATGTCATAAGAGTTCTAGAGATTTTATGAATAAAATGCAATATTTCATTGCCCCACAGTGGGGGAATATCAGCAGTAAGATACATACAGACTCAAACAATCAATAAAACAAACAAACAAACAAAAAAATAATTAAAAACCTAAAAAAATGAGAATAGAAAACGAAATCATGAGAGCAAATTTACGACACTGGCCAAAAAATACTTTAAAATAATACTTAACAGAAGCACAGCTCAGATCCAAGGAAACGTGACGCCGCGTAGCAGCAACATAATATAAGAAGTTATAAAGTAAAAATGTCACCTGCCATGTGCAAATAACAGCGAGAGCATCACTTAAAATGAGACAAACTGAGAAAATAACAGCAAAGACGCAAACATTCACTGAGCCTGTTGGGAGCAGAGGCGGTCATAAAGTCAAACATCTGCTGGGTTGAAGGATCTGGTGATGTCACTAGTTACCAGAGATAACTAGTGACATTTACTGAACTATTCTGAAAAAAGGTACTTTCACTACACCACACTGTTCACTGTTAGTACGTTACCCTGTTTTAATATTTGCACAATAAGTACATGTAATGTTTTTTTTTTTTTTTACTAGTTTAATGTAACATGAGTATTTTCTTGGATGACTATATTTTAGTTTATCTTGAGTGAACATATGAGATGATCCTGTTCTTAGTGCAGTTTTTGGGAACAAAGCTGCTGAACACATCTTCCTCCTCCTCCTCTTCCTCATCCTCCTCTTCCTCCCCCCGCTGACTTTCCTCTCTTCTCCGGAAAGTGAAACTGAACTCGCCTCCATCGGCTTTCACTCAGCAACCCAGCGAGTCCACGCCGCTTTCTTCCCCTTGCAATCCAGCTTTAAAACGGTAAGAAACAAATGAAACTTTAAATGCTGCTCACTGCTGCCGCTTTATCTGCTTTTATACAGCCGCGGACTTTCGCTTTTCTTTTTTTTTTATTTTCCGTCCTCATTTTATATAAACATTTGTTTTAAATGAGTCAAAAATAAAATCTAGCTCGCGCTCTCCTGGTTTGAATCTCATGCCTTCTTGTTCATTTCATTTGCAAACGGCTTCTTGCTTGTTACAGCTGCTTAAATCACTAATTTAGTCTGACTGACTAAAATGTTCCAGAACCAATTGAGAGCCTCCATGTGCGTGAGGATGATTATATATGTTCAGATGTTAAAAGCAGCGAGCAACAATCTTTTCCAACTTCCTGCTGGCTGATTGGACGGATCCCCATGGTTCTGTTTGGTGTGTTGGGTTTTCAGGAAACATGCAGGTCAAAATGAACCAGTTGCTTCTTTCATAAGGTGTTTAATTAACTGTGTGGGAAAATGTTTTTCTGCTAAAACCATGTGTTTGGTGTCTCTTACAAAGGAGACATATAATACATCAGTATCCTGTAATGCCTTGGCCAAATTTAAGCACTACTTTGACAGATCTAGCAATATCTCTACTTCATGTTAAAGGTCGTCATAATTCTTACAGTTTTCTCATGTTACTGAATTACTAAAATGAAATGAAACTGCAGTTTTATTTCAGTTCCTTTCAGTGGAGAAGGTTCATTTCTGGATGTAGCGATGGACTCCAACCTGAACCTTCAGAGCCACATAAAGACAATTGCGAAGTCAGCCTTCCATCACCTTAAGAACATTTCTAAGGAACGATAGCCACAGCAAGAGCTATCTTTATCTGATTACTGCAAAAGTGTCTTCACGGGTCTGCTTAAGAAATGAGTCAGACAGCTGCTGCTGCTCAGGCTCTGACTACAACTCAGAGCACATTAGTCCAGTTCTAAAGTTCTACTACTAGTTTATAAATCACTGAATGGTTTAGCACCGCAACACATTAAAGATCTGCTGTTGTTGTATCAACATTCCGGACCTTTTGGGTCTTCTGGTTCTGCTTCTGTGCACCACAAATTTGGATCAAACTTCCTGAAAACTACAAAATACTGAGTTCCTTTAAATCAAAACCCAGAGAGATGTCTTTGATTTGTGATAACTGGAACATTGGTCAATATATTTGATGTTTACATGCTGGCATTTGACAAAACGTAATGTTCATTGCTTGTTTCATAATTGGTGTCTGTGTTTCTGGTGTAAAGCACTTGGAACTGCCTTGTTGCTGGATTGGGCTGAGCAAATAAACTTGACTTGAAACAATTCAGTACCTACACCAGTGGGCTGTATTATGCCTAGGAGTGTTTTCTGATGCCACACTGACAGAAATGACTTGCTCTGATGGGGACAGTGGTTTCCTGGCAGCTTAGCGTGGTTTCTCTTATAAATAATTGATGCATTAGACCGTCATTTCAGATCATACTTCTATAGCAAACATGCAACCACATTCTGACCCTGATGCCTTTTCTTTGCATTGTCACATTCGTTCCGCTCTTCCAGCTCATACAGCATATTTTTTACCTCTTTCAAAGGTGGGCTGAGGTTGGTTGTGGTACAGGGTTAATTTTGTATCAGGACCTTTGAGTTGGTTGGGTAGGGTTATGGTTGTCCTTTGTGTTGCCGGAGGGGAAGAGAGGTGTTTTTCCATGACTTAACTTTTGTAAATATGTGACCATGATGCTGTGGAGAACCGAATAACTCTGAAAAAAAACTGAATAACTCTCTTCTTATGTTCATTCCTGCGGTCAATTTGACCCAGGGATCTTTTTAAGAGCCCAAAGACTTCCCTCAAAACATTTTGTATTATGTCATTGCTAAAATAAATGTTGAATGCAATGTTCTTTACTTCTTATAAATGAAGGCTGGATGAGAATAACTCAGCTTGTTTTTCATAAAAAAAAAAAAAAATTCAATGTTTTAAAGTAAGAATACCTACACAGAGAAAAGCAATGGCTATTCATGAAAATTATATTTACATTTTTTTAGCTCCCAGTGTGCAGTTACTCACCAAGGGGCCGTTTGACCCAGTAACATTGTTGAAGTTATCGACTCCTCCTTTGGGAGCTTTGTAGTAAAGGATCAGACTTGGTTTCTGTTTCTTTCATTGACTTTTGCGCTTTGTGTGAAAAGTTCTCATGAGGACAACATTCTTCCCCTTTCTAGGGAAATCTGAAGAAACAATCACAGGTCATGTTGTTCCTCTTGAGACCATTCGGCGAATCAGTCTCAACCCTTGCACCCTGATTCGTCTCTGGACCTCCTAAAGTTTGCCAGCATACACCTGCACGGTCCATACAAAGCTGGTTTTTGCATCATCAGAATTTTTAAAATCATATTTAGCTGTTTGAAAGGCATGCACTGCCAGAATCAGGACCATACAAACAAAATGCATTTTATCCAGATCCTTCGACCTTTCCTGTGAAAATCACCTTCTAGCAGGTCCTGGGAACATCTATTTCATTTTCTTGGTGTTTACTAGCAGATGACAATCTCTGGATTTCAACTGGATTTTTGGCATATCTTGCTTTGAGGAACTTATGTTTTTGTTATTTGTTTCTCAATCAGAATCATTGGATTCCCTCTAAGTGCTGATGCTCACACTTCTGAGAATCGGGAACAATGTCGGAGGCGTGGTCATTTTCCATGGTGTTGAAATGTTAAGGAAGTATACAACATTGTCAAATATGTGTTATTGACCATAGTAGACTATTTCATTCATTGCCACTTGCTGGTGTTTTTAGCCCTTTGGACCTGGTCACTGGTTTTGACTGGTATTGGAAATTGTCCTTAAAATCCGTTCATTTTCTTCAAGTGCTTTAAGACACCACCGGGTTGGACTCTTCGGTTAAAGACTTGCATAAGCAGAAAAGACTAAAAACTAGAAAAATGGTGCAATGAGCAGCACCCTTCTGGCCATCTGACCTTTGGATGCTGCGGAAACGGACTGTGTTGTTATGCAACCTTTTCTCTCCACTGACATCCCCTTCCAGATGTTCCAGCGCTTTGCAGATCAAACCAGCCGTTCTCACTGCGTGTTTATATTGGATAACTCAATTACACCCGGAGCTGTCTGTTCATTCTTACTGCTCTGAAATGCGTCTTAAGATAAAGGAAACGTTGCTGGTGGCCAATGGACATGTGACCGTTGTGACCTGATATTAATGGTGTTAATGGATGGCATAGAAAAGCAATGTGTGCTGTTAAAGTTGAATTGCTTTGAAGTTTCATCACAGTTGCTTTTTTTGTCTGTAACTGGAAAAGGATGGAGAAAGCGGTTGGGCAACCGGATAGCATAAAAAAAAGGAAGTAGCTGCAGAGTTTGAGGTCTTTGTGCTGCATTAAAGGCCCTTTAGAAGCAAGTTGGGAAGACTTAATGCAACTGCAGCTTCTATTTATCTCAGTAGTTGATGAATCTTTTGGTATTGTTCCAAGTACCAAAAGATTTGGAACAATACCAATTAAAAATAATGACTAATTAGTTTAGTCCTTTCTGTTGATTTTTCTCGTGTAGCATCGGTACATGGGTTACTCCGGCTTTTCAAGTCTTATTGATGCCAGTCTTTATATCGTGATACTGCATACATCCTCAGCGTAAATCCAAAATAACGACTCATGAGGCAGGAAATTGGAAATACTTTTCTTTCTTCTTTGATTGGTGCTAATTGAACATTTAAAGCACTTACTTTAAATCCAATGTCTATTATTGTCCACTGATTAGAGATTCCTTCAATCACATTATAGAGATTTCAGAAACATTATCGATGATTTTCTCCGGATTCCTTTTGATTCTTTATGCCGATAGCTGAAGCTGCTGGACACGGTAGAATATGAGCCCTCACGTGATCAAATTATGGTTAAGAATATTGTTCTCAAAATAGGCCTGTTGGTAAAAAAAAAAAAGATAAAAAAAAATAAACACATCCCTCCAGCCCCATCCCAAACAGAGACGTCTCAACAGGACCGTAAAAATGAGCTACTTCACTGATTCTTAGCAGATCATGTTAGTGCTCCATTGATCAACGTCATTATTAATTTAACTTATTTAGGAGAACATTCAAAGGTGCCATTTTCTCTTTGTGCATGTTTGTGTGAGACCAGGAACTGATAAGCTGACCAGAGTCTTATCTGCTGAATGTCCTGACCTGTCAGGTCTTGACCCAGCTGGCTGGATTTATCTAAACCGCTCAGCAGATTTTTCACAAAGTTCTGTCCTCTGAGACGTTCTCAAAGCTCTACTCTACTGGCGAAACCTCCCTTTACTCCGACTGACAATTGTTCTACCTTAACAGTGGCTTCAGATTCACATTCCTACCAGCAGCTCAAATCTGAGCGAGCAGAAACCTAAAATAAGGAGAATTCGGAAGGAAAGCCACAAATGCCAAAAATTCGATCATCCACAACAAAATTTCTCAAAATTGATATAAAAGCTTGTGAAAAGTTTAATAAAGCTGAAAGTGCAGGCATTGAATTAGTCAACCTGTCTGTATCTCAAACAGATAATAAAAAAAATTTAGTCTTTAGCTTTTTCAGGAGTGTTGATGAATTTTCAGGGAGCTGTAGCTGCACTCCCACAATAACAAAACTAGACACGTTACCTTGAGAGAAGCGGATAAATCACTCTATTCCACAACATAGTGTCATAGATATATATCTAGTCTTCCTTTAATATCATTATGTTTGCTCATTAAAAATGTTTACTCTTTTAAAAAGAGAGACCAATAGGTGGGATCTGTTCCACAGAGGGGTGAATTCAAATATTAAGCTGGGAGTCAGTAAAGTACAGTAAGCGGTTGTTCCTGCATGCAGCCCACGAGGAGAGATTATTATCAGAAAAACCAGTCTACCCAGTTCAGGTTGGCAGCCCCGAATCCAGCCTGAAAGTTTTTCCTCTTTTTTATTTTATTTTTGTAGTCGTTGCTACGTCAAGTTAAAGAAAAAGAGGAACAACCGGGTTAGACATTCAATTCGAAAGTTAGCATTGATAATTATACACATTTATTTTTGTTAATCCGTCATGACATATGACATGTGTTCCTTTCCAAACGAACACGTCAGTTTTTCCTGTGCATGTAGGCGCAGAAGTGTTTGCCGTCTGTACCGTTACAGACGGCAAACACTTTTAGCAGATGTCTGTCAGATGTTCTCGTGAACATTTCATTAGAACAGTGGTTATAATGAGCATTTAACACGCGCTCGCTCTCCGGGCAATTAAAGACATGTGGAGAATGACAGGAAGTGAAGAAACTTCCTGTCATTCTCAGTTTTTCAGTTATTGTCATTCTTGTTCTCAGTCACTCTTCAGATTCAGTCTCAGTCTGGATGGCTTGTTCAGAACCGAAAGCCCACCGGCTGCTCATTAGATGGAGAAATATTCCCTTAATCGATTAACGCATATCTAGCTGAGAGAGGTGGGCACAAGCCATTCACAATGTTTTTTGTTTTTCATCTCCCAGTTCATCCTGAATGGGTTTTGTGTTTCATTCCATCACAACACGGTGGCTTTAGAGTTGCAGAAAGCTTTGTCTTTTCTCTCAGCTTACATGGCCTCGATAGTAATTAGGATTAGATCAACATTATTCACAGAAAAAAAATCAACTATTATCCACAACAAAAACTGAGCTAAAAGAAAGAAATAAAATTGAAAGTGTATTTAGCAGAAATGGTTCAATTTCTTCTATCACCACATTTTATTCAGTGTGAATTTTGTGAAGCTATGAAACTGAAATCTTTTCTCCATTGTTCTTTGACGTTCATCATTGAATGAACGTCAATTTTCAAGTCTCACTGTGGATTTTTAATCAGACTTTATTCGTTCAGATTTTGAGTTTTATAAAAAAAAGTCTAACCCATACGTTATTTTTGTTTCACCTCACTAAAACCCACTCTGCGTTGCGTCAAAATGGTTCTTTATTTTTAAAAAAGAGATCAGGTCACAAAACATTTCCTTTGTCAGTTTATTTACTGTTTTGGTTAGAAATGTGTGCTTAGGCCACCTCTCTGCACGCATTTCTGCAGGAGAAAAGGCACTGATCTCACAATGAATGCATGTTTTATGAAACACATTGACTTATAAACAAAATGACGACGACTGTTTGCTTCATAAGGTGAGGTAACCTGTCATATAGTGATTTAAACAGGAACGTTTGTCCGTTGTTTTGTGAGACTGGGGCACTCTCCATTTCAGTGTAAGTGATTTAGGTGTGGGTTTGTTCACACATATTCTGAGTCCCTGTTTGTCTTTGACACACATCCTCTCTTGTGTTTTATCAACAATCTGGATTTAGTTCCTTTAACTTTCTCTTTATGCAGCTGGCCACTGGTTCCTATACCTGAAAATATTCACAGTTTGCCACAAAGTCAAACTAACTCATTTTACAGGACAATTAAATGCCTCGAAGTTATTGCGTACGTTTGTTGTTTTGGGACTATTTTCAAGTAATATGACGGTAACGGCAATGAAAGAGCGCCTTCTCAAAGATCAACAAACTTTTAAGTACTAATGAACATTGAGCACGCTCGCTCTCCTGGCCGTCAGTGACCAAAACGGGAGCTTTGTTTGAAACACGGCAAGTCCAGGTCTGGAGAAACTTCAAAGTTTGGTTGAATATAACGGCGCAAACCTTCAGACATCGTACGAAAGACTGATTTCCAGAAAACGTCCTGAGGAGGGAAAGACCAAAACATGCGGCTTGATGTAGCAGGTGCAGTCCCACACCTGTCACATGTGGGGCGCACATTTAGATGTATAGACGTAAGTTTAACTTTGCAGAAGTGTGCCGGGTGGACAGCTTTAAATTGCAGAAGTGTGTGGAGAGAAACGCATTGAGGATGAATGCACCTGATCCAAGTCTTGAAGTTTGGAAAACCTCTATGCCATCTCCCTAATCTTTAGCTCCCTCAACAAATTTTCCTTTAGTTTGAAGCTGGCTTATAGCGACGCTGCTCCAAGATGTTATTATTAGCTTCACTAAGAGAAAAGAGAGATTAAACCCAAGACTACCAGAAGTATGAAAACCATTTATAACTGCATCTAGTATGTTTAAAATCCTCACAGGTTTAGGTAATTAATGTTAAATGATAACTTTATCATACTAGAAAATATTGTTTCCTTATATAGTCTTTCACTGCAAACTAACCAAAGTATCTTTTGGACTTACTATATTCCCCAAAGGCACACAAAGAACATAGACATAGAGTCAAAAGAAAGTACACCCTGAGTTAATTCTAAAGATTTCTTCTTCACTCGCCTCTAAAATGCTTTAATTTCAAGATGGAATGAACAGAAACATTTCACATTCCATTTTACTGCTTACTGAACAAAGGTGAAGATGAAATCAAGTGTGGCCCTTGTGTTGTAACTGTCTGCATAACATCCTGTACAAGATCAACAGAGCTTGTCAAGAAATCATCAGGTGCTTTTCATAAAGGAACAAAATATGTGGGAGCATTATGCAAAAGTTACAAAATGTACACTACACATTTCCTCTTTTAACGTGTTGGTGTCTGCTCCGTATCCTGCAGGCATGGCGTACCCACCCCCCGGTCACCAGGTGGTGATGGTCAACCACCAGGGTCCAGGCCATTGGAGCACTGACCTCTGCGACTGCTGCTCCGAGATGGGCACCTGTAAGTCACATCAGCAACCGCCACAGATTTGACTCAAAGTGTGTGTGTGAGTGTGTCGCACTGCTGGGCCTTGTGTGTGTGCATCAGGTTCGTGTGAGATACCGACGTGGCTCGGGTTTGTGCGCCAGGCACAAGTCGTGTGCTGGTTTGTGGTTTTGCTCGTGTGAGTCGGGTTAAGTCATAGTTTTGTGATCTTCTGCAGGCGCCCTGGACCAGCAGTGCCAACAATTGTAGATGAAAATGGAAACATACGTAATTATTTTCTAAATCACTTGTCTGCACAAATTCAAATTCAAAAATACTTTATTAATCCCAAAGAGAAATTGAATGAATCCGGAAGTATCTGATTTAACGTTGAATTAAATAGTGTGCAACCAAATATTATATAATGATAATCAATAATCAATGTTTTAGAACATAAGAAAATAGCTTAAAATTAAAATGAGCTTTTTTTCATATGAATTGTCACATTATGTTCATTCTCAGGCAAATGACTTGACTTTTTGTCTCCTTCCCAGACATTTTGAGGGAAGGAGAAGAATTATCCAATCAAAATGGTTTGAGGGCGGAGCCGGACATCAAGCCCCGCCCACAATCCCACACGTTCCACTTCCTGCAGCCGGTTATTTTGAGTTCCTCTGCAAACACAAACATTCTCGGATGGTTTTTTAGCTAATTCATTTATGTAGATTGAATGATGATAAATTGGAGGAGATACCGTCTGGTTTTTGAAAGCCAGCAGTAATATTGACGCTTGTTGCTTAATGCAGTATTAAAATGTTTTGGAAGGTAACGTGAGAAACTCATTTCCAAACTGCATGTTATCCATGCCTGCTGATATCACCACTGCAAAGTTCAATTCAAGTTTATCTATTTTAAGTCAGTCAATATTACATTATTGTATGTCACAGATTTTGCTGAATATAACCAAAGTTCCTTTAAACCGTAAAACTGAAATGTCTGTTGCTAAACTTTGAGCAGCCAGCTAGTGGTCCGCCAGTGTTCATACTTGTCTACCTGGCATTTTTTCTCTGCTTGGATTACTCAGATCTGATGTGGGTATTACAAGACCGAACATGATCTCACTTACCTGCAGATATTCCATCTAAACTCCAGCTTTTCAGGGATGTTTCATAAATTTGCCAGACTGAAAGAATATTTGAATGGCAATAGAGTGGGTGTATTATGGTCTGGACTTTAGTAGTAGCTATGAACTCTGCTTTGTTCACAAGTGCATCCTGTGCTTATTCATTAAGAACAGAGGGTGGCCTTCTCATCTTTGTGTAAATATTCACAAACTCTTTGCACAGCTGGTCAAACAAACTGGACAGGTTTACAACTATCTTTTAAAGAAGCTAATATGCTTTTCCATTGCTACTATTTTGCAGGTTGGTGCAGCCTGACAGGCTTCAACAGCTTTATTCTCTGTCTCGCCAACAGGTTGCTGTGGGTTGTGGTGCTTCCCCTGCTTGCAGTGCGAGACTGCCAGTAAGTACGGCTGGTGCTGCCTCATGCCCTGTCTGGACTTCTGTGGCGTGGTGTCCTGCATACTCCGCGGCAACATCAGAGAGCGTCACAACATTCCTGTAAGTCGGGCAACTTCAGGAATACTTAGCTGTTGTGATCCTTTTTTCTTCTTCTTTTGTTTATTTTTCTTTGGAGTGACTCAGATCCTTAACTGTGGTCTTCAACTGTTCGTCGTGGCCCAAGTGCTGCTCTGGAGGATTTTGGAGTTTCCCTTTGTCAACGGGTCTGGGTTAACTTCATTGGTCAGAAATGCATGACAGAAACAGAAGTTGTTAAAGATTCACTCGAGTTCGGCGTGGGCTTGCAAGAAAACATGGTTAACTTTATTAGGCATGAAAAACCTAGAGACCATAATGTTCCAGAGTCAACCAAAGGCTAGAAGTAGACTTCACTGAACCAGAACAACCATGACGGTCAGGGTTCATATGAAATCTGCACAAGATTTGAATTTCAATTAGTCATTCTTTGGGTCAGGGTAAGGAAAAAAATAATAAGAAATCATATTGGAGACTTCAGTATGTTTTGTTGACATGAGAAGTGTTTGAATATGATTTTTTTTCTTCAAAATAAGCTGCTCCTATTTCAGTTTTTTCATTTTGCTGTTAACGAAAATGCAGATCTGTTCATCCGTCGGTCAACCAAGCGACTGACACGTTTTCCAGAAACAGCGTTAATCACAGTAAATTTGTAATCTACGTGTAGAGCGGGCACTAATTTGATCCTCGTGCAAGATTTTCAAATTGTCAGTTGATTTCCAAAACCTCAGCGACCACAGTGAAAACAATCATAGCAGGTTCACAGCCACACAGCAAGGACGCAAATCAATTTCACTCAGGAACATTTGGATCTCGGACAAAAAAAAAAAACCTCGCCAAACCTCTCCAGGACGAATGTTCAGAGTAAACTAACATGGCCGAGTGGGAAGAAGTAACACAGACAGTTTGTGGAGTACATTTAACAAAGAAAAAAATAAATACTACAAAGACGTCTCTGACATCCACCAAACTTTCTGGTGCTTTCTTTTCTGTGTTTTGGATTCCCTTCCATGTTTCCATCGCCGCTCTTTCTGATCGGCTGCAGGTCACATTCAACGCCCTCCGAACAATCCGTCGTGTCGAATAACCCTGCTGAGCATTCAGGATGTCAGGGTCATCCTCACCACACATGGCCGTAGTATCTCCTAAGATTGTCGTTAGAGCCATCAATGTGGTCGGAAATGGGAAAGCAGGTCAAATCTGCACAATTATCTTGCTGTGTTAACCAAGGTTGAGCCTTTGCTTCACTGTCTAGAGGGATTTCCTAATAAAAACATTTTGGAACCTCCTTATTAAAGAGGTTCCCCTTTAATAGTTTCCAAAGTGAGCTAAAACTCCTCCCTCTTATCAGTTGACGACTCAATTCGTCAAATTGAGCCGTCCACGTGTCGGCCTGAACTAAAGTTGTGGTACAACGTCCATCAGGCATAGCAATGACCGGCAATGATACGTCTTTGTGGAAGAAATTTGGCTCCTGAGTCGAACGCTGTTTTCTCCATTTAAGGATAATAGCTCTCTGTCACTGTGGTTCTCTGGGACCTCAAAGCTTCAGAAGTGACTTTGTATCCCTTTTCACGCTGTTGTATATCTGAGTCTCCTTACATCAATGCGTGACTTGTTGCTTTGTTTTGAGATCTTTTGGCCTACATCATGCAGAAATGATTTCTTGTTCTGGCAGGTTTGAGAGAAATGGTTTTAGTTTATGTCAAAGCTTTTCTCAGATTGAGAAATACTTTATTAACGCCAAAGAAAAATGAAATGTTGTTACTCATATAGTCCAAGTTTCTCCAGAGTTGTTGATGTTCATGCACGGTTTTCTACAGAAAACCTGCTGAATCCGGCGTTAGGAGCCCGAGGGCAGCCATTGAGTAAATGAGCAGCAAGTGGCTTCCTGTGATTCTGACAGTTTATTAACAAACAGACAAACGCGCGCGCACACAGGCACACTTGAATAAAATGATAAACGGTTTCACTGAACAGATCCTACAATCTCACACTCACAGGAATCCAAAACCAGAAAAACTGACTCTGGACACTTTGACACAAAAATGAATCCAGTCAAACTTTACTCCTCTTTATTGTTTTTTAGCCTACTTCATGTATTCAGACAGGTTCTATTTAAATCAGGCATTATATTTATTCTGATTGAACAAGATGGCAATTACGTTATAATGTCATGGATGTTAAAGAATAAAAGAATTTTTTTTTGACATTTTTTTTGTTTTAATATCAGAAACATTTAAGTGACAGAAGAGATCTTTAAGGGAGCAAAAACTGAAATTTGACATTTTTTTTCCCCCCACAAATGAAGATGTAAATGATCAATATAGAGAATTACAAGTCAGTGAGAAGAGGCGAGTTTCTGGGTGGATGCACAGAAAGCAGAAACAAATGAGAGCAATTGTGTGCCAGGTGTGTTTAGAGAGTTGCTGCACACTGGCAGAGGCTTGCGGTATTATTTCCTGCAACCCAAACAGATTTTCTCTGATCAACATGAGCGATAGAAGAGCAGAGAGGTGTGGAAAAACACCTCTGAAATAGAAACTATCATGATGAACAGTTCAGTTTAAAAAAAGAAAAAGTTTATAAATGAAACCAAAGGAAGCTACTCCTTTTTACTTTGCAATTTCCTTTGAATGAGACACGTTGTTTTATAATCCTCTGAAATGTCTTCAGGATTTCTGGAAAATAACTTTACATATTATTACTGTAAATCTGACCTTTGATGAATTTGGTTGTTAAAGACTTCAATGAATTAAAAATAAAATCTTTTACACTCATCACAGGCTTCCCATTTAACTCAGATGAGTAAAGAGTGGAAGATCAAATGAAAGATGATTCATCTCTGAAATCTGCTGATGATAGTTTCTTAGAACAGGATCTACAAAAATTTAAATGAAAATGAAATAAAAATATATAATAGGCAGTCTGACTAATTAGAGGCAAAACAGCAAAATCTAAACCGGTGTCCCTTAATCTCTGTCGGAGTTTCTTGATGTGTTTACTGACAGAAAAAAGTTTGAGTTTTCAGTTTTTGATCGCTGGTACATGTGGGGATAAGATCCATGAATGCTTAAAAATAGTTAAAGTGTCATGAAGTGCGGTGAAGAGGTGGTGAGGATGACGCTGAGGACCCAGGTTGGAGTGAAAGAATGAGAATTTTAATAATAATGACACGAATACAAATCCAAAATCCAGGCAGCACAGAATGAGCGGAAGGCTAATGCTCAATGCTGGTAGCAACTGGCAACAGGACAAACATCTGAAATGACAAAGTGACACAACAGATTAGACGAGGACCCAACAAGGAGCACATCTGGGATCAAATGCACAGAGGGTGATCAAGGAGCGAGACACAGTCGGGAACAATCGAGGGGTAGACAGGAAAACACGGAGGAAAACACGGAGACTCAATAGACTCAGAAACCTAAAATAAACACAAAGAAAACTCAAATCCTCACAGAAAACCTGTGAATACCTCTACAAAAGCTTCAAGTACACCAAAAGTAAAACCAAAAATATGTTAATGTGCACTGATATTCACAATGGAAACTGTCTAGTGCCTTCCTTATTTCTGCTTCTGGCCTTACAGCCAATCAGCTCCAACGAAAGTGAACGGTGCTTCTGGATTGGCTGCATTATAAAAGGCAGCCAATAGTATTGTCTAGATATTTTAGGTTACCAAGCTTCATTTTCTTTAGAATATCAGATATGCTCAACAAATACAAAAACTTCTCAAATCAAAAAAATAAACTTTCAACTAAACTCACTTTCAGACATAAAAGCATCATGGTTACATTATCTCATGTAACCACACTGGCTGATAAAAAAAAAACCCACAGCAAGTTATTTAGATATTTTCCGGATAGATATGGAAAAATAAAATGAGGAACGACTTCATAAATTAGATTATCGTCAACAAAGTGAATGTTCTGGGAATTCCGCTGACTTCCTGTTTCCTGTCCGCAGGGCTCAGGGTGCGATGACTGCTGCAAGGTGATGTGGTGCTACCCCTGCGTTTGGTGCCAGATGAATCGCGAGCTGAAGATCCGCGCCCGCAATCCATCAAGCACCACCGTGATCACCACTCAGGTCGGCAGGATGTAGCCTGCAGACGTGGAGGTGGCTTCACAAGGTTCATACATTACATATTTTGTCATTTCACCATTATTCAGAGTTACTGATTAGAGTTTGACTTGATGCAAAGAGAAACATTTCTGTTCAGCTGTGTGTTAGTGTGAATCCATTTGTAACTTTGCTTTGTTTTGTCACATTAAAAGTTTGATATTTTTCTGTTCTTTGTTCCTTAATAAAATACTTCCTTCAAGTATCAAGAACAATGTCACTTTTTATTTCTCCTGTCAGATGACAACCGATATCCCTGTATGTCAGAAGGTTTTATCTCATGATGCCATTGAGCAATGAGGTTTGGATGACAAAGCATATTTTTATGTGTCCATCCAGAGTTTGGACTTTAGCCACGATTTTGAGTTAGAAATGTACTTTTAATTGCTCAGGCAGTGAATTATTTCTTTTTTTCTGTTATTTTAATCCACTTGCAGTTTGATAAGGTTTCCCATGTTGTCCTGAAAACTGTTGAGTGATAGCATTTTGAAATCATTTTAGATTATTTATCCAAAATGTGGGAAAGCAGAACATAGAGGATGGGAAACATCTCAGACAAGCTAAGAATCACACTGCTATGTTTGATGCCTTTTAACATTTACATTTAATCCATTCAACTTTTATACTTTGAGTTTAACCGTTTAGCTCCCAGGATTTCACTTCTTGTGTTGCTGAAAAACCCAGAAGTTTGTTTCCTAACAAATCTGTTCACACTTGCTGAGTTTTCCATGTTTCATCACGACACACACAACGAGCTTAATTGCATTTTATCACGATTTTGTGTTGCAAATCAGAACCTGAAAAGTGTGGCATGAATTTATATTCCGCCCCTGTTGTGGCCATTTATGTTGAATTTTTGTAAATTGTGAGTTCTATCAGTTTAGTCTTTGTTTGGGCAATTAGAAAATAATTCAGTTTAGAACCAAAATCTGTAATCAATTTTTAAATTTGAAATTGTTTAGATTACTTTGATAACTTTTATACCCTCATATTAATTTAAATAATTAAGAACACACTTAATGGTGGGGGTCCTTTTTTTGGGGGGAAATGTCTGGTGTGATGGTGGAATATTTTTTATTTTATTTTATTTTATCTTTTTACTATGTTGTGGCCATTTAAGTTCCAAAAACAGCAATTTCCAATGAAGGCCGTGGACAACAGGTGGTTTGGTTCTTGCGTGCACTTTTTGAACTTGAAACATCAGATTAAGTTACCTTTTGCTTTCAGATAAGTTGCCACCCGTTGAGTTTTATGGGAAATTTTTGGTTTTGGAAATGAGATTTTCTACATATAAAATACATCATACACAACACAGGAAACACACTTTCTTTATAGTGGTGGTTTGCGCCCTTTTCTATTGTCACCCTGGACAATTAAAAGCCACTCCTTTCTGTAGCTGCTAACGTTTCTACAATTGCCAATACGCCAGACAAGCAGCAGCAGTTCCACCAACAGAGGTGCTGAAAAGACTTTTTAAAAGTAGCACTGAGAAAAAAGACAGAAATGGAGGAGTGGAGCTAAAAGTGAATCTTCAATTCCTTTCTTTCAATTATTGGCAAGTACTAGCGTGAGTACATAACCTGAACACCATGAACAGATGTGAGAAGGTGAAATCTTCAGCTAATACCACCTTAAGTTCTCACTTAAGATGGCAGAGATATTGCAGGGAAGATTTTACTGTTAAACTGTTGGGGAGCAACTCTGGATGTTTCTTTATGGGTTTATAAAAAACACAAAAAGGAGGAAGTACACCCACATTCCTCCTGAGATAAAGACATGGAGCTCAGGCTTGTTTCTTTATAGGTTTATAACTAAAATGAAGCAGTAAGAATACTGGCAGTGACATATTTTACATGAGACCTTGAACTTTGTCTCAAGCATGTTGTAAAATGGCGTCAAACAGGAAAGAACAAAGTCGGTAAGTGATTATGAGTCAATCTTAGTATGGGCTCTTAAGCTCCAAACAAATGTTGACCCTTGGGCGTTACTGGAAATTATGTTTTCAGCCTTCGAGAATGAGACATATTTCTGCTCTGACATCCTTTTTAATCCCTGGGGCTAAAAGGACATCTTTGATTTAGGTTTCTGTTTCTCGGTTAATGTTTTACTGGAGAAATGAGGAGGAGCGTTTCAGCCATAATCAAAGCAAGATGTGAATCCATTTATTTTCTTCTCCCATAAAACGTCTCTGAGCTCAAACGTAATTCTGCAATGTCAAAAAAAAGAAGGGAAGAAAAAAAAAATCTTTTGGATTAAGAAGAAAGACAATAAATCATGAGTTCTGTCAGTGTTGTTCATGTTTCAGTGGACAGTTTTTCAGTTATCTCACTAATTACTGCAGGCATTTAAACAACAATATTTTTTTTCTTTCATATGATTTGATCTAAAGCAAAGTTTCTCATCAGATTTTGTTGCCTTCGGTTATAAACAAACAAACAAACAAACAAAAAAACATCCTCAGCAATTTCTTCATCAAGTTCCATGTTAACTTTCTCTTTCCTGCCAAGCAGGGCCGTGCAGATACCTTTGGAGGGGCAGGGGCTCAAAGTTTAAAAAAGGCACATTGAATAAGACCTTAAAACACCGAACAACAACAGAGCAACATGATTTATGAGTCAATTTTTACATTTTAATTTCTGTGTTTACGTTTGTGCTGTTACATTTATACATTGCTTCTTGGGGACAAATAAATTATATTGAAGTTAATTAATACCCTTATCAAAAACTGCAAATGGACACCAATGCTTCCATATGTTCACACAATATATAAAACCTTTGTTTCTGCTGTAATTAGTGTGAATGCTGTTGGGATTCCACTTTTCTGGTTGCTCCGTAGATTTTGTTGTGTTTCTCCTGCATACTTTGTGATGTTTAATCTATTAAACATTTGTACTATTCACCATCCTCCATCCTGTGGCAGAATTGAGAATTACAATATAAAATGTATATATTGCAGTTTTAAGTCCTGCAAGTGAAAGTAACATTTGTAAGAGGAACTTTGTGAAAGTTGATGCTTCACCGATCCAGGAAGTGTGTGCACCAGTAACTGGGTCTATATTAATAGTTATATATATATATAGATATATATACATAGACCCCTCTGCTCTCCCCCCTCCCTCACTCTCTGGTCTAGCTTTTAGAGGTTAGTTACACTTTAAAGAATCACGCCATTCTTTCAAAACAGGTCATCAAAAATCTGTGAAAATCTGTTCACACTGGAACTGTGAATTTCAGTCAAAAATGCTAAGTTGCTGACCTATGAACATGAATAATTTAATTTTAAAATTGAATGAAATGTACTTTGAAGAAGGTCTTATTTAGAATGAGTTGGTGCAACACCTCCCAAAACAAACTGACCTGTATTTTAGTGTCCGATCACCAGAGGGCGCTGTGAGACAAACCACTGTGCTGAACTTGATGATCTGCAGCCTTCATCAACACTTATTGTCACTACTTCTAAGCAGTGCACAAACTATCACAAAGTTTTTATAAGAGTTCAGTTTAACCTTTTGACTTTTAAACTTTCGTTAAGATCTTCACATCCAAAGCAACGTGAATCCAGTGTTTTACTGACTGGATTCACACCAATGTTGTCTGATATGAAGAAGCTGGGGGGCCCAAATTCGCTCAGGTGTAGGAAAGCTCTATTTTTTATAAAATCATTCTTTTATGACATCTTTTATAACAACAATTTTTTCAAAATAATAACTGTTTTATCACTTCTATCATAGTTTTGCTTTTTATTCTGGATCCTTGTGTCGCTGTTGGACTTTTAAGACGATTTACTAAAATCACAAAAACATGTTGATAATGTTTCAAAATTTCACCAAAAAGAAGCAAAACATAAAAACACTTAAATCATTTTTTTCTGTTGTTTTTGCTCTAACACTTGTAACAAGAAAGAAATGAAATTTAGATCACATGTGTTATTCCTCATATGCCATTTGCTTCAGCAGGAAGGTATGATATGCTGTCCCCAAGTGATTTCATATTTAATATGCGACATTTATTTGGAAGGACTGAGAATAATTTTGCTGATGTTAAATGAGATTTTTTAGGCAGCTCACAAGATAAAATGCAGCTCATGATTTTTTATTTCAGGGAACAAAAAGCACGGATCTGCAGAGGAACGTCAACGTAAAAGATGGAATAAAAAACAACTTTCACTGTGGTTGTGATTCTTCCACTGCTAAAAACTGTATTTTTTTCTGTTGATATCTTAGTTTTGCTGCTTTTACAATTAAAAATAATTATTTGAAAGTGAAAATAATGTAAACAAACAAACAAAAAAATAAATAAATAAAAATGCAAACATGGCTAAATTGAGTCAAAACTTTGCAGGAATATGAAAAATAAAACTTGGTGTGTGATATAACAAAATGTGCAATATCAATACTGAGAATGTTTCATGTTGATAAATAAATACATTTGTGTGTGTGTGTGTGTGTGTGTGGGGGGGGGGGGGGGGTGTGTGTGTGTGTGTGTGTGTGTGTGTGAGTGTGTGTGAGTGTGTATGTGTGTGGTGGGGGGTGTCTCTGTGACGGACTGGTGACCTGTCCAGATTTCACACCACAATCCCTCTGCAGCACCACGCTGGATGGATGGATGGATGGATGGATGGATGGATGGATGGATGGATGGATGGATGGATGGATGGATGGATGGATGGATGGATGGATGGAAAACCGAGCTGCAAAACAATTTCTAGAGAAGCAGCGCCCCCTAAGGGAACGAAGGACATGTCTGGGTTTCGAGGGGGCGGGGGGCGGAGGGGATAAATAAATAAAATGATCTTTTTGCTCACCTCAATGCTTTTGTGTATTTTAACCCAAGTACACAAACTCTACCATTTTCTAATATTTGTTTTTTTTCCTAAATCAGCGCTTTTGTTCATTGTTTTAAACAATTTATGAACTTTGTTTGGGCGGCGGCAGAGAAGAGGGACGTAAAGCCATAAAGTTGTGAGGTGTGTTTTCAACGGGCTCCTCATTCAGGGGACAGATCATAACAGGCCTGCATTTCTCGGCATAACACCTGCAGATTTACGAGCTCCGGTCACACAGAGGTTCGTCTCTGCAGGAGGTCCAGCTCCCCGTCACTGCTCCACATTCTCTGAGCCGAGTCACTTCCGTCGTGTTTTATCAACTCACGCAGCGCTAAAAAGGTAAGAACAAAAGACCCTGTAAGTTTTGGCTTGAGGTCCGAACTTTGTTTTTGTTTTTTTGTTTTTTTTTAAACCGCTGAGTGTGTCCACAGTGCGATGTCACACACTGATGTCGCACAAAAACATTAAACGTCGACTCAGATATTACCTGTTTCTACTTTTTTTTAAGCATGAATGACACACTTTTGCAGATTACATGTAAATACTTTCATTATAACCATTTTAACTAGTAGTGATAACTAATGCATCTGTTTTAGTCAATTGATCGAAAGATGGATGTCGACTAATCGATGTTTTCGACTCAAAACGACTGTGAAAATAATAATAATAATAAAAAAATGGAAAAGTTTATTGTTTGTAAATAAGTCGACCCCCTGATGTGAAAGTGTTTTATTTGCACTTTCTTTCTATTTTCTTCTGTATTCCGATTAATCGATATATTTGGACCATTCAAACATGTGATCGGGACAGCCGTGACTTTTACTTTTTAACACTTTATTTGAGGCGGTGCATATGGCACGACACTGTCAAAATCATGACGTAACACCTGCCATGAACATGAAGGAGTCTTTATGAGTGAAGTGTCATCCCGTAATTAATGACACTTTTGCTTTAAAGTTGCATTAACAGTCCATTAAAAGTGCCAACTTTGCAATTGAATATTTAGCTAAATATTCAGTGGGGAATATTGCAGGCAGCTTGCAGGAAATGCAAGCTGCCTGTTTACATTACTCCACTTCATTATGTTCATGCCTCTCAAAGACCCGACACACAGACTTTGGACTCTTACTGTAGTTTTTACTGCCATTATTTGTCACTGTGGGGTTTTTTTGCTTTTCACTTTCACTGTATGTGGGTCTGGTTTAGGGATTAAAAGCTTGGCTCGCTAAAAATGAGATGCTAGAAACACTAACTAATGATAAAAAGATCAACTTTTAATCAATGTTTAAACGACTGATGTGGTTATAAAATCTGTTGTTTGCTTGAGTTGTAAATCAAAAGTATCCAAACATTGTATCAAAACGCCAAGCGGTGCTGTCGCGAAGAAGCAACGCAAACGAAAAGAGATAAACTCCAATAAACTCTAAAGACGGAGAAAAAGTTTTGCAAACTGAATTTTTTGTGACTTTCTGTCATTGTTTTCTGTTTGATGCACAAACTGTGCATAAAACAAGTGACATTCCAACAATTACTGGACTGAGTGATGATATTTGTTCATTAATGTTCATTAAAAACCTGTGAGATTTTTACTGAACATTTCCATTTATGCTGAGAATAATTTACACTAAAGCTTCTGTTTCCTACCTTGTTGACTTTGGAGACGGTTTTATTTATGAGTATCAGAGTGAAAGGGGAAAGTTACACTTCTCAGTTACTTATTTTGAAAACAATTATAAAAGGACGCGTCATTCTTTATCTTTTACAGTGATTCGCTATTTCTTATTGGTCCATCACGCTCAATCCGAAACCAACACATTCTTCAGCAGATTTTAAAGCATTTGGATCGTAAACTATTTGAAGTGTAAAACAAACACGCCACAGATTCCACCATGTTGACACCGAATATGTAAGGATGGAGTCAAAATGAAAAAGTTGGTGGTTTACATCCAAACAACCAAAGCTCTCTGAATAATATCAACATAACAGATGGAGACTGAAAATAGATTTGCCTAAAACGTCTAAAAACGAAGAAGGTGGGGTGGCAATAAGAGGCAAGGCTCCAAATTTGATTTCCTGATGTGCTCATGCTGACTCTGATTCTTCCAGACATGGCTTACCAATCGGCCTTGACCGGCCCTGGGACCTGGAGCACCGACCTGTGCGACTGCTGCAAAGACACCGGCGGCTGTAAGTTGGCAGACCAAATACTGAAATGTTCCCTCAAATTGAAACATCAGAAGCATCCATTGATGAAGCCTCCACAGCGCAGCCTCCACGTTGAGCAGCACTCCTGGAAAAGACGTGGCCTTTTTGTGTTTTTCAAAAATTGCATTGACATTGTTTTAATTCTTAAGACAATTCCTCTTCCCGTTCTTCAGCCGGGGTGTGGAAATTTGATCTGAGTGAAACCAGGAATGTACTGTGGAATTATGACACTGCCTATCACTCCCACTCAAACCTCTCATGACAGAAGATTTTATGATCTTCAGAAGGTTTTATGATCTTCTGTCATGAAGATCATATGGACTCACCCCTCTCCATGCACACCTTTCAACTCCAGGTGAATTCGACTGTCACTAAAACAAAGACGTGTTCTGACCTTGGAAAGCTCGCCCCATTTCCAGCTAAATGTCAGTTTTCCACCTGTTCTCTGTTAGATGTGGCCTGCATTAGTAAACTGATTCATTTAGGTAATGAAAACAACCCAAAAGCATCTAATTCAGGGCAATTTCAACGTCAACATTTTTGAAACAGTTTTTTTTCTTCTTCTCCGTGAGCGGCTGAAACAACTCACCGACAGACAGCAAACAATTTCACATTTTACGTCAACAACCTCTGTATCTGGGCTGAACAAAAATGAACAAAAAGTTCAGCACTAAGAGCCAAATAAAGCTCATCGTCACCAAAGAGACACACAACAATTCCAAGATTAGCTTTATAACACATTCTTATTAGTCCCCAAGGCTTTAGTGGACACCTAACAGTGATAATTTAAAGAAAAAAGACAAACAATTATGCAGTTTAGCAAAAATTGATTCACAGAAAACGTTTGAGCTCCGTCTGCCAAACCAGCGGATGTGGAAGCGGCTCATGCAGAGCAGTTTTGAAACATGTGGGACAATTTATTCACATGGCCCAGATTTGTACCCATTTGAGGGTACTGTGGTGTGATGGACCGAGTCACAAGATCTATTTAGAAAAAAAAAAAAATTATTTTAACCCAAAAATCATAAATGGCAAAAGATAAACTGAGCTCGAGAAAAAGGTCAGCGAAATAAAACTGAACTCAGGCAAAAAATGTAAGCAAACATAACTGACCTAACAAAGAAATGACACACCGGGGTTTATATGCTGGCTGATCAGACCAAGACACAATAGGGACAACTGAAAGAAATACAGATAACACAAAAACAAATAGTACAACTAAGTTTGGCTAAACTAAAGACCCAAAAATGAAAATCAAAAATAAACTTTAAATACTAATGTGTAATTAAATACAAAACTTATCGAAACAAACAAAAAAACCTACCATTTCCCCCTGCCAGCAGGAAATAGTGGTGTAATCCAATCAGCACGTAACCTTGCCGAGCCCTGGCCCCCATCTTTTGTCGACATCAGGGTGTGGCCATGGATTTGGCCATCACATGTGGTGACATCTACCGTTTGCATACTTTACACTGCAGTTTAAAGTTATTATTTTTGGTGTAATAACCCAATATCACTGGCCTGACTTTTAGCCCTCTTTTCAAAACTTCCTGGATTCCCCTCTGCTCAATAGTTTTAATAAACGTTAGTATTCAAGCACTGATACAAATTAAACCTTAAATGTCAAACACATCATAATAAATATCATTATTAATTTAAACTCTCATAGGAGTCCGTTTATTTCAGATTTTTCTCACTTTTGTTCTGGTTTTTTTTATGCAGTTGAAAAATCCCAAAATATCTCAAATCCACAAATATGCCGCTCTGAGCATCATGCCGCTCTGAGCATCACTGCACGTGAAACAACGCAGCCGACAGAAACAGAGAGATCTGTTGAGGAAAGCTGCTACCATGCAAACAGATTTTATTCTTAAACGATTCAGCTTCCATCCATCACCTAAAGCCTCTCCAACAACTACTGCAGTCTTGTAGCGCTGGCTTGAAATTTCACGTTACGCTGCTTTTGTCTGCGCTGCCTTCAGTTAAGGTGGAAAATTTCGGTATCAAAGATCCGTCGAAGAGCCGCAGGTTCGCCACTCCTGCTCAGTTTAGTTCTCTGCCACAACATCGGCTCTTTCTGCCTTTTCGTGTCATGCTTGCTTGGAAATTTAGCGGTTCATTCTTGCGCAAACATGTGAAGGTTCCAGCAAAGAAAGTTTGTGTTGACCTCATCACTTCTGTTTTCACGCTGTGATGTCAAAATACAAAAGTAACAACAACAACACGGTCCGACATGGGAAACCAAAAATACCGTCGTTGTGTTTGTTTGCAGACAACATGCCAGAAAAAAGAAAAAAGGCTCTTTTTCTGTTCTTTTTGTGGAACAATCTGCAGCATAAGATGATGAACTAAGCACTGTTGTGAAATATGGCTGTCAACTCACCGTCTGCGCCCAGAGGTTTCAAAAGGTGAGCATATCTCCAGTCAAACAGGTCGAAACGTCGAGCAACAATCAGATAAAATGGCCCGTTCTGACGAACTTGTGATGAGACGCATACTTATAATGTTTTCCTAAAAGTCATGCTTTTTTTCAAGAAGTAAACACATCCTGCACATCTGCATTAAATCTACAGAAGTAACAAAGGTAACCAGGGTTGCATTTGATGGATTTCAAGCGGTTCAGGTAGTTCTGGTGTTAGAAGATAAACGCCTCAGGTTTGCATATGTAGCATCTCTCATTTTATAAGTGGACTCATCAGGTTCCTGCTGAGGAAGAACACCCCCACATCATGCTGTTGCCGCCACCATGCTTTAAAGTAGGGATGGTTTACCTGGTGAGGAACAACCTGTTTTTCTCCAGGCAGTGAAGTTAAAACCAAAAGTTTTATTTTCTCTCTGGATCTGATTACATCTAACATTTGTTTATGTAAATTCATATTGGAAACATTGGAGCTTTTATTACTCAGTTTGGTCGTGTAGTTGGGCTGATGCAGGGCAAAGCCTCCTACAGATTCCAGATGCAATCAAGACTTGAGGGTCTACAGACAATTTAAATACATTTATTGACTGATTTCTGCTCTGTTCGGAGATGTCAACCATAAGATCTTCAAGATTTCAAAAATATTTTCCAACTTACTAATTATTTTAATAGATTTTGAAAAAGGTCGACACACCTCTAGGCTCGTTCAATGTTTGAATGATCGTCCGGCTGATCGATAGACCCTGATTTGCTATATTCTGAGTGATCGGCCGACTCCTGCATGTGAGGAGGAAAACATGCAGGCTGACTCCTCACATGCATGAGGACTTTCTTTGAGGACTATATCAGATATATAAAAAAAACAAAAGCCTGTGTTGGCCAAAACTGGGATTTTTAAATGTCAATATTTGGACAGAAAACTGCACCCTTAATTTGAAAAAAATTAAGTTAATCATGATGATGTAAGTTGCCTACTTCAACTTACATCAAAACTAAATTTGTCTTGTTTGGTATTTTTGACATTGCATTAAACTTAATAAGGCTTTTTTCTTTTTTCTTTTCAAATACAGTGCAATTAAAGCTTCTTCTGGGTAAAAGCACACAGTGGACAGCAAATAATACAGCAAAACCTTTTTCATAAGGTTTATGTCTAATCATGAATCGGAGTGGCCTAGTCAAAGAAGAAGACAATGAAAAATAGACAAAATGGTTGCACCTGGTTTTCAAAGTTCACTCTACGGTCACATGGGAGTTTGTAACTTTTCAAAGATGAAGTCTATGTTGTGGCCTAAATCAAGCTGATAAGGTTATCAGACAATAAAATGCTCTCTGTCTCGCCTGCAGGTTTGTTCGGGTTGTTCTGTTTCCCCTGCATGCAGTGTCACACTGCCAAAGCGTACGGATGGTGCTGCCTCATGCCGGTCCTGGACATCTGCGGCGTGGTGTCCTGTATACTCCGCAACAAAATTAGAGACCGCTACAACATTCCTGTGAGGCCACTTTGTTGCTTTGATACTTGCAGTTATTTTTAGAGCAGCTTTTTGTTGCTCTCAATTGGTTTTGTCAGGCCTTATCAATGCACGTAGCGACTTCTCCCTTCATTTTTATTTTAGTGTTTTAGTTCATAGAATAATTTTTCCAGTCACTGCTGTCCTTGCAGGTCTTTGTTCTACTACTACCACATCACTTTGTCCTTCTTTCACAAAGTTCATTTTTAGTTTGAGAGGAAAAAGAGCGATTCAAGGTGCTCCAAACGTAGAGCTTTCAATCACAGCTAGAGATGGGAAAATACCTGGGTTTGTCGCATGTGGGAAAGCAGAGACACACGTCTTCCACTGTGTCTAGCGTTAGGGAAAGGGCGGGTCGGATGTCCGACGGAGTTGACCCTGCAAAGAAATTTCCGAGAAGCCAATAATGTAGTTTATGTTTCTGCTGAATCAGTGAGCTGACAGTTTCCTCGGTCAGGCTCAAACATGTTTTCTACACCCCTCTAAAAACTTGTAAACCTGCCTATTTTAAAAGTCGAATCGCCACACATAGATAGTATATGTGAACATTCACTTGCAAGCTAGTAAACTTGAAATAAGGCAAAACTAATATGTTTACACTAAAAATGAGACCAAAAATACTTTGATTTTGTGTTTCTTTTGACAAATCTAAGCTCATCAAAAGAAGGAGGATAACTGCTTTGATAGGTTCATGTTGTTTTGGATGGCTTAATAAATCCCTTCATAGATGACATCAGGATTTCAAAACTTATTTTTCTATTCACTCTGGTTGTCTTTGTGATGTTAGAAAGAGTTTGATGACAACAAATCAGGAAGTATGCCCCCACTTGTTCACATCGTCATAAAGTCGTCCAGAGACCCAGATCAGTTCCAGTAACATTGTATTTTGTTTTTTTTTAAACAATGTTTTGCCTTTTCCCACCTTCCTGTTTCTTCTCCGCAGGGCTCATGCTGTGATGACTGCATGAAAATAGCGTGCTGCTACCCCTGCGTGTGGTGCCAGATGAATCGAGAGCTGAAGATCAGGGGCAGCACTCAGTCGGGCGACAACGTGGTCACCGCTCAAATCGGTCGAGATTAACATGCCGCCGACTCTGAGGTGGCGTGTTGAGTCCGTCTGAAATGTTCTGCAAATACTTCAGGTGGACCGCAGTTATAAAACCAACACAGTTTAACACGTGTGTTAGTTTAATGCTTTTCAGCTCGTTGTAGTCCAACATTTTCTTTTGCTACTTTTCTAAGGTTTTGGAATTATAAATCAAATGCTTCTTAGCATGTTTAGTTTGATAACAACAGGGTTGAGGTTTCTGACTCTTGTTCCTAAATAAAATACTTTTTGCAAATCTTCACCTTTACTTCATTGTATATATCTGAATCTGAGCAGTGGTACTAAGCAATATATTTACAAACCTCATTGGTCTTGGATCCACAGCTTGGATCCCTACGTACCGTGAATCTGATTGACCTCCAGTTCTTCAGGAGTGCTTTTCTTGATATTTGCATCCTTTAATTGTTGTGTTTCTATGGGTACAGCTCAGAAAGTCAGACGTTTTACAGTATGTTTTACTGTATAGGTCTGTATGGCAGAAATAAGCTTTAATATATTTCAGAGTAAAATTTCATTAGATAAATGTTACATTTTATGGGGGAAAAAAGTTTAGACATTTTTTCACATAATCACAGAAATCAGACCTTTTAAGGAGCTACTGTGTGTCGGCGTGAATTATTTCCAGATTGGTTTTGTTTTATCAGATAAAATGCAAATTGTGAACCTTTTTCTGAACATGGAGACGAGAGGAGAACTATCCTCCTGTGCAAAGCGTCTCCATCATTCTGCATGTAGTCCTCATGGCGACCAGATAACGACCACAGCAGCAGGAAAAGCGTTTTGTAGCACAACAACAACGGCTTTGTTTAGCTCCCTACATCTATATCCACTTGTCTGGGTTCACAGGAACTAAAGATTTGAATAAAAACAGCATTTTGACGTCTTGTTGGTGTGAAGCGCTGCTTGTTCAAAAAAAATAGTTAAGCTGCTGCATCCTTTGGCCTCCGAATGAAGAAATTTGCAGATCATATGTGAAAGTGGAACCTAATCCAACTCCAGTGGAAAGATAACAAGTAATAAATAGATCATAAAAAAGAAGTTGCTGTTATGATGCTACAGCATCAAGAAGTGCTAAGTTAATAATTATTGTTGTTTTTTTTCTGGCCAGGTGTGTAAATCTGAGCTAAGGTCATAAACTTGTCAGGTAATCTATGTTATCAGCAGAAAGTTCCTCCTCAGAGTAACAGGATCCTCACTTCTCATTACATTGGATTAGTCAACTCTGGCAAATCTGAACAAACCAAACTGTTGAGTTTTGTTTGGCTTTTTTCCCCACTTCTTGAATGTAGTTCCACTAATGAAACCATATTTTTATGTGGCACTTCCACTGATTGCGACAGTCTACTGTTGGATGTTTGTTTTGCAGCATTCTGAGCCGTAAAGGGATTTTTTTAACAATTTAAAAATCTACATTGAATTCAATAATATAGTTTTGTTGTTTTATTTCTAAAATGTCTTATAGTTCCTGTACATATGTATGTCTCAGGCAGCATCTCTGTGAAAATGACAGAACCCTTCAGCAAAATAAATAAATAAATAAATAAATTTCCCCAGGTAACCATCTGTGCCTTCAGTCGCGCTCCGCCAGGGGGCGCCCTTGAATTACCACGCAGACCCAGCTGCAGGAGGAAACCCTGTTTGTTTGTCTTTGCTGCTCATGAAACAAACATAACAAAGAAAACTCCACTAATTACTCAGAGTTCATTGCGGCTATCTTGTTCTTTTGCAATAATATTTTTCAGCTTTAAAATATCGATTCATGATTAATCGGCGCGGCGACGTTTGGAGCCGCAGCGTCTCTGCAAAGAGCCGCGCTGAGGGGGGAAAAACAACAAAACAAAACAAAACGTTTCTCACAGGAAGCAACGGCGAGGAATGGATCAATCGGCAGGTGCTCGGCTCTCATCAACCTGCTACTGACTTTCCACACAGACAGGAAGCGGCTGTGTTTTCCTCTTACGTTCATTCTTCACTGAAAGAGGAAGTCTCCTCTCCCCCATCTGGGTTGCGATCACGCACCGCGTCTCCAGTCCCGTGCTTGAAAGGCAAGCGGCGAGCGGCGGGCTCCTCTCCGCCATGAACGTCTACCAAGAGGCGCTGAGCTACCTGGAGTCCCATCAGGCGGCAGGTGAGGAGGAGGATGAGGAGGAGGAGGAGGAAGGACGCAGCTGATGCGCTTTATCTCTCTTTTGGCGACACACCTGTGTTGCGTCTCTTGACGCGAAGCTTTTATTCAATTTAATTAAAAAAAAAAAGTTTTTGAAAACCTTTTCCTCGTCGTCGCTGATCGTTTGTGTTTCTGCAGGATCAGAGGTCCTGGAGGATGTTTTCCACGAGGAGGCGGTCTGCTGCTTCCTCTCCCCTCTCAGCTCCGAGAGCATCGACTTCCCCGACACGCTGGTGAGTCCGGCCGCATCCTTCGCCGCGTCGCTCCGTGGACGCGCTTGGGTTTCTCGTGAGTCTTTTTAGTGATTCAACTTCCACAGCGCCAGCAGGAACGCGATGACGCGCCCTGGGCCACACGGGAAACGTGCATGACCCTTGACCTTCGGCTGCACACGTATCAGAGAAGTGTTAAACCTTCACCGTGTGTGTGCTCACATTTTGCCTACGACACTTTAGTTTGCTTTATTCAAAGCAGAGAAAGGCTGGACATTGATTGTACCTGGGTGAAATAACAGGCCGCTGCTCGAATTGCAATTCCTCTTTGGATTACTACTTCCTCTTTCGTCCTTCCATGTTTTGGTTTTGGTTGCTTTGGAGACTCTAGTGCTTCCATATAAATAACAAGAACCAGGCTGAGTCATAAAATACCACATGGACATTTGTTAAGAATGAGGATGTGATTGCAATGGGATGTTCTCACGTCTTTTCCATTTTAAAGAGTGGCGAAGACAAATTAGTCCTGCGTTAAGATACTTTTATACAGCAGGACCAAAAGGAAACACTAAATAGGTTCCTAAATACTTTTCGACTTTAAAAAAGCAAAAAAAAAAAAAAAAAAAGATCTGGCGCCAACGAGAGTGACAGAAGAGTTTGTTCTTCTTTCCTTGTCTTTAAGAATATTTTCCCCAAAATTTTATTATGCTGCCGCAGTAGCAGGCGTTTATTTGTTTCAAGAGTTTTCAAACATTGTTTTTTTTTATCAATGCTGCCAATAAATGTGAAGAGTCGGAGCAAAAAAACAAAAAAATACACACACACATAGAAAAAGCAGTTAAATCAAGAATAAATAGAACTACAAAAGCAAAAAGACATTCCAAAAACTCAAAGCTGCATTTTTAATAAACAAGAAAGACGTTCACAATAAAAGCATGGTGTTGCTTGTTGACTTTATGTAGGAGACGTGTCAAGAGGTCAGCGGTTTGGCAGATTTCACAGGAGAAGGAAAACTTGACGTCCACTTGTGCAAAACGACAACCTCAGGAAAGCTGCAGGGAAAATAATAAGCGACTGGATGTAGATAAACATCTTTAACTTGGACTGTGTTTGAGTCTGAAGGCATCGGTTTCGACAAAGTTCAGACGACAGCTGCCAAAAACCGAAACAGAAGAATTGAAAGTTTATTTAAGTCGGCCGAGAAGCTGAACCCGGTCAGAGGCAAAAGGTGCAGCGATGGTCAGATGTTTACATAACCTCAGCAAGGGCAACAAAGGTCATTCATTTTGGCCTTTTCATGTGACTCGTACTTTATGCATCATTGTAACCAACAACTGCAGTGATGTCTGTAAAGTAATGACAGGCTGAAGTAGTTTGAAGTTACTGTTTTATAAATATGTACATATTCCCCCAACAGTATTTGGTGAAGTGTTGCAAATCTCCCATATTATGTTTGTGGCCATCAGCAAACAAATGACGACAACAGATGACGCCAACACCGTCGTGTTCCACAAGGTTTGAACCACTAGATAGATAAACTTACTTCTCATCTGACCACAGATATTTGACTTCTCTCTCTGTGTGTCGGTGGAACTTGAAGGTGTCGTCTCGGAGCCGCAGTGCCACCCTCTCGGTCGCTGGTGACGTGTAGTTTCCGTGTGGTTTTCAGACCTTCTCGTTTATGTCAGACCAGAACCTCTCAGGTGGACTCTTCTTGGAAATCCTGACCAGCTTTCTCTCCTTGGAGGTGGCAGTTTGGGTCAAACGAGCGGAAACCGGACACAGAGTGTCGAAGCAGAACGAAGATCCCAAACACTGATATTGACTTTGTCAATGATTAAAAGTCGGGAACTGCATGCAACATTGTGCCAGCATCAATTAGATAGCTATGAAAAGTGTGTGTGTGTTTTTTCTTTAATTTAACCAAGTATTAGCATGCGGTGGTAGAGTTAGAGAATCTACGTATGTTTTATATTAAACCCAAAGAAATCTGTTGAATTCCTTGAAGTTGCATCACCTTTTCACTCTGGACAAAAACCCTCAAATAAATCGTCCTGAATCGATTTTAATTCATAATGCCTTTGATGTGCTCATGCAAACTTTTGAGCAGATCTATAAATAAGTTGATGAATTTTTCGCTTATTCAAATTGCTTTGAGACGATTCACCTGGGAGATGTTTTTTCTGCCGGTGTCTCACGCCTCGTTGGCAGCGTCGCAGTTTGTGTGTTTCGTTTTACTGACTGATTTCATGCGTCGCTCCCAGACGTCATGCAGCCGCGAGGAGACGCTGGAGAAGAGGCTGGTGGTCCTGAGGGGCATCCTGGACAGCGAGGAGGTGTACCTCAGGGAGCTGGACGCCCTGCTAGCGGTAACGCCAACAAGCTCTTATTGCTATCATTATCTCACACACTTTGTTTCCAGTCTGACCACAGTGTATTCTTACTTAACCTCTAAGCCAAGTCATGCAAATGAAAGTCTCCCTGAATTTGCTCGTTGCTGCAGAACTTCCCTTTTACTGTTCAGCTGCTCTCTCACTCGTGTAAAAGTAACCGTCTGGGTCAATGACCTTCCCCCCCCACTTCATTTATTTAATTCATGCATGTGTTTGTGCAGCTGAAGGTAATCTCTCATTTCGTGTCTGGACTGAAAATGGATACAAACGGCCGTTCAGTGAGCGGCGCTGGGCCAGATGTCATTTATTACACCAAACGTGGCTGCTTCCCTCTTTGTGGATTGTTCAACTATTGTATATAAGGTTCCCCTTTTTCTTAAAAACCGAAGCAGTTCTCAGCTAATGCGACTTATCTAAAAATAAACTGCGGGGCTGGGGGGGAGGGTGCGGAAATATTCAACGCCTAT